GGGGGGTGAGGTGGGGTGGGGGGTTCGCTGCCCCGATTTGGGGGGTGAGGTGGGGTGGGGGGTTCGCTGCCCCGATTTGCGGGTGGGGTGGGGGGTTCGCTGCCCCGATTTGGGGGTGGGGTGGGGGTGGGGGGGAGTCCCTGGGCCGCACCTCCGGCTTCCCCCTCCCTGAAGAAGCGCTCTCCGCAGGCAGCTCGGTACGCGTCCTCCTCCCTCCTGGAGCACAGCCCGTGCGCGCCGCGGAGGTCCCCGCACAGGGCGCCGAAGACTTCGCGGCCGACCTGGTTCCCGCACTGGCCGAGCTGGATCGTGATGACCGACATCCTCGTCCGCGGCGGCCGAAACGGGGGCGCTGCTTTAGGGTGCAACGAAGACGGTCCTGCAGCCCCCGGCCGAAACCAGACGGGGCCCTTTTCCCTGCGAGAGACCCAAGGCGGTTTCCATAACGAGATCCGCACAACAACCCCGCGAGGTAGGCCGAGTCGGGAATAAGCCCGGGGCGCTTCGCGGCCGATCGCGCCTCCCAGCACACCACGGCCTGTCTGCCCTAGAACGGGGGCATCGCAGTCTCCTGCTGAGCCCAGTTTTATTTTTATAATTTTCGCTCCCTCCGCACACAAGCTCCCCCTCCTCTTTAGCAGCCGCCGTCCCCCCCATGCGCATGCGCGCAGTCCCAACGGTGGCAACCTCTTCAAGGCCGGGCCCTCTGCGCATGCGCCCCGGTCTCGGCTAACTCAGGCGGGAAAATTGATGAGAGAGACGGCGAAGGGCGAGATCGCTGCGTCAGCTGCTCTTTCCGTGCCCGCGCGACATGCTGCGCGTTGCGCGTGCTCAGTAGAGGGAAAAGGGGGGGAGGGGGGCCGAGGGCTGTTCAATGGGGGTGTGGAGGAGGAAAAACTGCCCTCCCCGAGCGTGTAGGTGGCGCGGCACCGCCTGCGCGTGCGCACTCCGCGGAGGGGCAGGCGCGTCAGCGTGGCGCGCTGCGGCGCGTGCGCCGTGCCGCCGAGGGGGCGGGGCCTGGGCCAGCCCGGGCGATGGCGGCCGTCATGGCGGCGCTCGGGGTGGGCGCTGCGGGCCCATGAGGCGGCCCTGCGGCCCTCACGCGCGCGCGCTCGGCTCCCGGCGGCTCTCGCCCTCACCCCGGCCATGGCGGGCGTCTTCGACATCGACCTGGACCAGCCCGAAGAGGCGGCCTCGGACGAGGAGCTGGAGGAGGGGGTGAGAGGGAGCGCCCGGGCCGAGCGGAGGCCGGCCCGAGGGGGAGAGGAGGCCGCGGGGGGGGGAGGGGCGGACGGGCGCCTGAGGCGAAGCCTGCGGGGGGCCGCGCCGCGCCACGCCGCCCGCTTGGCCCTGCTGGGGCTGAGGAACCGCTGAGGGAAAGGGAGTGGCAGGCCAGGGCTCGTGGCACCATTACCTGTCTCGGGCGCTGCGACGCGGCCCCGGCTCTCGCCCGAGGTGGGGCCCTGCGTGGGCCCCGCTTGGGCCGGTAGCATTGCGCCGCCGGGGGGGAGGAGAAGCCGGGCTCTTCCCCCGTTCCTGTAGCGCACGGTCGTCAGCAGCATTCCCCTCGCTATCGGGCTCCTGCATTGCAGTGACTAGCGATGTTGCTGGACCCCGAGTCGAGTTTGTTCCACCGTGGCTGATGAATAATAAGGGTAGATGCATGCCTTGCTATACTATCAAGTGCTACCTGGTTTGTAGGGGTGCCGTTATTATTATTGGACGTCGAAGTTGGCCGTTTTAACATACTTTATAGTACTGATACTAGTTTCTTTCGTTCTTCCAGTTTCTGTTCTCATCATTACTACTATAGTTTCTTGTTGTGTAGTTTTTGTTGTGCTACTGTGGTACATTGAGCTGGGTTGGTTGCACCCTAGCTCACGGTGATAATACCTACACTAGCACTATTATTAGGTTCCCGCATTCTTATAGTGGCTTTATTGCTACTACTAGCTTCCTGCTTTGCACTTACTGCTGTGATGCCGTTAGACCCCAAAACAGACTTTTATTTATTGCTGCATTTATATCCCGACTTGTTTCTCTAGCAAGAAGTCCAAGGTGGGTCATAGGACCCCTTTCCCATTTTGTCCTCGCAACAGCCCTGTGAGAAAAGTTAGGCTTAGAGTCATTTATTAGCCCAGGGAGCTTCATGGTGGATGGAGATTTGAATCCAGGTCTCCCAGTCCAGTGTGGCAACTGGTAACACCGCATCTTATCTATATCTGACTATCGTTTGATTATTTCAGTATGCTCTTAGAGCATACTGAAATTGCAACTTGAAATGGTTTGGCATTATTGCAGTATAGCTACTACTGCAGAATTATCTGTCAGTACTGTAGCAGTCTCTACTGTTTGTGATTCGTAATGGTGATTCATAGAACATAAGTGCCCTGTTGGATTGGACCAGAGATTTCTATAGCCCAGGATTCTACTTTCTGCAGTGGCCAAGGAGCTGCTCGCGGGAAGTTGAAGGTATCCAGCCTTTAAAGCCGCTTGTTTTGTGTGCTGACATCACAATTAACAGCCTTTTTTCACTGTGTTGGATATGCCCTACCCTAGTCTAGTCCCCCTCTTACAGCCACATAAACAAATGGGATACAAAAGGGGTTTTTTGCTTGTTTTTAAACTGAAAGTCTGTGATGGTTTATATAAAATGTAATTATGAGAGAGACAATAGGCTAATTACACCATCAGCTATGGTGGGGCTAAAGTTCACTTTGTCAGATAATGATTGCCTGGAACCTTATCTCTCCTGCTGGATATGCCTGATGAGATCTGGTGGGCTCTGTTCCATGAAGGCTGATGCGGCAGTAAATCTGGTGCAGTGCAAGTTCATGCAGGTCTTCTCAGGTGTAACTTTCCCTGAATTCACTGCAACTTACTCCCAGGTAGACTGAAATCCTATATGCACTATGTTCTCAAAGGTGCTGCAAGGCTGTTCTTGTGGCAGCGCAGCTCCGCCTCTGGAATTTATTACTACAATAAAATGCTTTAATAAGTGAACCAGTGGTGCACTTATTAATGCCCTGTTAGCCTTAAGAGGCGCTGCTCTAGTAGTGGGCCTTGTCCAAGGCATAGAGTCCTGTGTGCGCTTCACGTGAAGCTGTGCTTGCGTAAACAAACCGGAATTTATTCCAGAGGCTGCCGTGTTCGGCTGTAACAGCTGTCTTGTACACAGTGGAGTTTCCTTATGAGTAAATGTGGCCTTTATTTGTGGCAGAAGAACTTTTCTGCCACTAACTTTCAAATTAGCCTTCTCTGTGTTAAGTACTGTGCTTGATCTGTGCTGCTTAGAAAAGTGAGGATACTAGTATAGTATTATGTGTGCATATAGGAAACTAGATTTGAGTAGAGCATTTTACAGAAGAAGGAAAGGTTTGAAATGAGTAGAAATAGGGAGTCGTGTTATAACAAAATCAAAACAGCTAGTTACTGCCTCCAAGGAACATAAAACCTAAACAATTTGAAGGAAGCATACTTAATATAGCACTGCTAAGGTGCGACCCTTTGCTGTTTTAGATAGAAGAAAAGTCCTACAACTCCCAGTATTCTCCAGCCTGTGGTGGTGGCAGAGGAATGCTGGGAGTTGTAGGATTTCTTTTTTTTTCCCTGTTTGAACACGCATAGGAGTCTAGCCTGAGGAGGAAGCAGGAAAGGAATCTAAGCTAGGAATACTGGATGCCTACATTTTTGAGCTACTGTCTAGAAATTAGTGTGTTAAGTTTTGCTGTGAAATGCTATCCTAATGTGGTTGTGTGCAAATAATGGTAATAGTATGGGAATGTGTTAATATGTGTTGGATTGTACAACGCGATTGTAAAGCAAACAAAAGCAGCCCAGGCCCCCAGCTCATCTGTAGTAATAATCTCTTGTAGATGAAGAAAGGAAAATTGTGCCAATGGAAAAAGCTTTATTTTTCCTTTGAGGCGATTAACACTTCCCAAAAATTATAATTATGGCTACATGTAGACAAAGCTAGAATTAGGAATGCTGTGAGCTGCTATATCTTGACTGTTCATAGTACATAAGTTTGAGAGGTTGTGTGGGTGATAAAAAAAAATAAACATTTCAACAGAGTTGTTAAATGTGTGGAAAGGACCTTGTATGACATAGAGGTGCTGGTATATCAGTCAACTTGTTATATTTTGAGATATGTTTATTCCCAGTGGGGAAAAGGGTGCTACTGTGCCCCAGTCTGAGTGCTTGAGACTATAATCCTATATGCCATTAGCCTGGAATTGAGTTGTCTTAGGCTTAGTTCTCTGTAATCATCCATAGAGCCAGGATGTAAGTTTCAGACCCTGTGATCTCTTAACCTCATTTGTTGCTCACATGGCAGTGTAATTCAGGATGAGTTTGCTGAGGGTAGACTGCCAGATATTTGGGATGTCAACTCCCGGCTTTCACCAGGAACTGATATTCAAAACATCTGGAAATCTACTTTTTGTCCAGCTGTGGTGAAGGAGCCTTCTTTGTTCAAGCATGTGAATACTGACTGTAGTTGAATGTAGTTTCCATAGTGAGGGTTCTCCTTGTTGTAACCCAAGAAATACTGAAGCTTCCTAGGATTATTCTGGATGGATGTATAGCTTCAGTAGAACAGTGGAAGCAACCTTATTTAACCTCCTTGTGAGTGAATGTTACAAGCTGTTCTGCAAATATTAATATTCTTGTTGCTTTGCAGGCTCGCAACCACACCAAACTAAAAGGTTCTTCTAAAAATCAAATATATGATTTAACACGTCTTAAGCAGAATCCCATGCTCATTAAGTGCTCTGAATTGGTGCTTTACCTGCATAGGTAAAATATCTGCCATTATTTAATTGTGCCACCATGGCCTCAAATGTTTCCTAATGGTCCGTAAGTACTTCTGTGGGTTTGTAGGTCAGGATCTTTGTGCTACATGAAGTTGTTCTTGTATTGAGTAGCAGATTGTTTTATGTTCAGAAGTCTTTTACTTTGTGTGTGTGGGACTGAACCGTTTATTCTGTCTGTGCACTGCAGCAGAGCTGTTTCATCACAATGTGACCTGCTCACGTCAGGATTCAGGAGGCTTTTAGCCTGTAGGTTCTCATATAGACAGCCAGTTTTTTGGTCAGCTAACCCACCGGGGGTATACGTTTATGTAGTGGCAGTGTGGCTTAAATGCAAGATCAAGCGCTTCTCTGGTTGCCAGTGAAGTTAGGTGGAAATGTTTTTCTAAAGCACCAGAGGTAGCAATATTTTTCTAAGATCAGGCAAGAAACCCGCTTCCTTGACCTTTGCCTTAACCCTGATACCAGTCTGCAGTCTTGATGCACACTTATTATTTTGAGCCCTTGGTGTTTTGTATTCTGGTAATAGTTGTAGTTGTCCTCCATGAGAGAGGGTTGAGGTGTTAGTGGCAAGGGGCCAGAACTGTGCCAAACAAGTGCATTCTTGGCTGTTCTGAGAGACATGGGCACCTTTGCCTGGTCTGTGCTGTGGGGAGAAAGGATGTGTTTATCCTGCAAAGAAGGAAATGCCTAACATTATCTTTTATTGTGTTTGAGTTCTGCCAAGCACAGATTGTGGTGGGACTATGGATTCATTAATGTGTTCGAGTCCCATATTCATTATAAGCAGCAGGAGTAAAGTTTTGAGTGGGTGGGGGGGGGTTACCACTTCACATTACAAGTGATTTCTTTAAAAGCCTAGCCTGTAGATATATTTCAACAAGCAATGATTTGAGCATTAGGAGAATTGGATAAGTAGAAGTCTGGGGAAATCCTCAGACAAATGGCCTGAGGTTTCATTTTTCTACACACTCTGCCTAATTTAAGTATTGACACCTCATGATCTCTGTTTCTCTGTGTGGCCTGATGCCAACCTGTTTTCTGATTACGCATCTGTAGGTAAGAGAGCAAGGGTGCCCTTGCAGACCCAACCCACCTTTTGCAGAGTTGATTATAGTGTGTCGTATTACGTCTGGTTTTGAAGTTCATTCTGGCCTCGAAGTGTTTAGAATTTAGTTTCTAAGCTTTAGTTTCTAACTCCAGGCTTGGGAGTTAACCATGATGATGCAGTTGAGAGGTGGGCTTACCCTTGTCTGACTTTCAGCCATGTTTCCACTCATACAACAGGGCCCGGTGCAACTCAGGCCTTTCTTGAAAATCCCTAACCCTCCGTGTGGCTGCACGGAGGGTGGGGAAGCAGGGGAGTCTTCTCCCTTGAGCTGCCATCTCGCACAACTCATCATATAACCTATTAAATATTCACCATCTCTCTGTGAGTGTGGTGGGCCCTGTACAAGTTGTGCAATAAACAAACATCTGTTTTACTGCAAAACAAAAATGTGAAAACGTTGCTTCAGTGTAGGGTTCAGAAAAAAGTCAAGCCTCATGTGGAACTGGGTAACAGTGCAGTAGGTTACAGGGTGCTGTGTTGTGCTGCGATTTGGAGGTTTGGGCAACTTTCCCATAGAAGCCTAGAGATGTTTCGCAAAAACAGCATAGGCATTACCACAGCCTTCTGCCGAAGCACTTAGTGAGACCTGTATGCAACCTTGTGCTCTGTCTGTCTTAAAAATGCAAGTTAATGCTTAAGCAAGAGCTTGTTGTGCTTCCCGCAGCGTACTTACGTTCTTTTTAATGTTTTGTTTCCAGGGTCACTTAAGTGAAAGCATGGACCATGGGGGAGTTGGTGCGTATGAGCTGTAAGTTCATAAGCCGGAAGTCAGACCGTGTGGTGGGTTGCGTTGAGAGGGAGAAACATCAGTTACACCACCTGGGTGTGGGAGGTCCAGTAGCACCGACAGCAAACTTCTTCATGGTAGGAAGAGCTGTTGGCAATAGAACGGGCTTCCGGGGGTGGGTGGGGGGCGATGCCATGATTGCTTCCTGCATTATGTACGAGGGGGCTGGTTTAGATGACCTCTGAAGTGCCTCCTGCTCTTCGTTACAGCAGCGCCATATCTGTGAGCCGTTTCCTTCTCTGAAATAGCTTCTTCTTGACATGAGTTGTTAATGGGGGGGATATAATAATCAAACTATGTAATTCTGTGGGCACCTTTGAAACAGTTTTTAGTCCGTTCAAGTAGTCAGGTGAACCTTTTTTCAGTCCTGTATTCTGTTCCAGCAGGTACAAATCGCACTCAGTACCTCCTTCTGTAGGAGGGCAGTTTTGTACAGGGCCAGCCATTGCCAAATGCTGCAATTTAGCATATCCAGCCAGACGAATGTCATGAGCTAAGCATATTGTTCTGATCAGGAGCATAGCACACGTGAGAAGAAGCTTCCTGGGTAGCTGTCTAATGAGGAACGGGTCTTTGGCACGGACTCTCAATGCACACGCTTCTGAGAGTTTCACTTTCCCCTTCACGCACAGATTTACTCTGTAGTTGGCCTGTCCTTCTGCCCCAAAACTCATGCTAATAAACTTCTGATTGCAGCTGTAAGTACGTGTAATACATTGGAGCTTATAAAGCAGTCAGGGTGGGTTTGTGTTTGAGTTGCCTGCTTGAAATATTTAAAGCCCAATCCTAATGTGACTTTTTTTTCCTCCAGGGGCATGGAGCATTGTGAAAAATTTGAAATTTCAGAAACAAGTGTTAACAGAGGTCCTGAAAAGATACGCCCAGAGTGCTTCGAGCTGTTGCGTGTTCTTGGGAAAGGTGGCTATGGAAAGGTGAGAAAACCTGTCCTGTGAGGAGGGGCAGCACCATGAAGAGATTCCTGCAGTGGAATGTTCCTTGATTGTTCTTCTGACTGCAGGCAGCTCAGCAGAAGAACACATGGTTTGCCTGAAAAGGGCCCCATGTTCTAGTTCACGTAGTCCTTGGAAAGACCCCTTTCTGAAATGCTGGGTGTCTGCAGCTGGGCAGTCCAGGTCAGGGTGGTGTCTTCCAGATGTTCTAGGCTTCAGCTCCTATCAGCCCGGGCAACATGGCAAATAGGAAGGAATTGTGGTAGTCCAGAACATCTGGATTGCACTAATTGCCTGCCATCGGTGCAGGCCATGCTGAGCAACGAGGGCCGCTGATTCAACTCAGAATGAGACTGCTGCCTGCAGAATCTTCTGGAGTAATCCTCTGGGGACGGGTCTTCCTCTGCCTGCAATCAGATTCATTCATATATGTACCCTGTTTATAAGCTGCCATAAAGAGAAGTCCTCTTGCTGCCTCACAGGATACCAGGCCTTCTCCTGTCTTGTTCCCAGAGAGTAGAACAGATTTGTTTCAAAAGTACAATTGGTCCTTACTCTCTTGGTTTTAGAAAGTCTGTGCCACTTTTTAATTTAGCCTTGGTTTTAATACGTTTGACGTTTAAAAATACTTTTCGAGTGGCATCCAAGAGACATTTCCCTGAGAGGACTGGCTTGATTCAGGGATGCTTTTCCCCCAGGCACAACTCACTGCATTCAGGGGAAGTCCCTGTCTGCCAGCACCGTAGATCCAACTTAGATCAAGATCCTACCTTTTTAAAAACTATTTTAAGATAATTACGTAAATACATCCCATCCATCCCATGATGCCCCATGACCTTGGTCTCGGCGTCAGGCTGTGGGACTAGTCTGAAGGTTGACTGCGTGGCCAGTTGCACCTGTGCTTCCGGATGGGAAGTGAACAGGTCTGCAGCAGTTGTCACGCGCATCAGCTTTCCCTGATTTGGTGTCATCCAAGTCTGTTGACTTAAAACTCCCAGAATCCCCCAGTCAGTTTGGCAGATACCCTGAGAGTCCGCTTTTTGATAGGCAGTTGATTCATAACCTGAAGGATTCTGGCAGTGTGGTAGCAGCTTGCTAAGTGACCACAGCCCAGGTCTGTGGAGATTCAGGGTGGCAAGCCTTGGGTGGTGGTATTTCAGGACGGAGTGAAATCCAAGAACTCGTTTCTTTTGCTCATTGCTAATGGAAGAATTCCAAATGCGCGCACAGTGACGGCTAACCTTTAAAAATTGCATTAATTCATCTTCTTTTGAACACTGTTTTGGGCAGGTTTTTCAAGTTCGAAAAGTAACGGGAGCAAATACTGGGAAGATTTTTGCCATGAAGGTGCTTAAAAAAGTAAGTTGGGCTTCAGCTGTATATGGGGGGAGAACCACCTTTTGGGAGCGCCTACTGCTCAGCAGCCACAAGTGGAAAGTCCTGTTTTTAGTTCCTTGCACCTCTGATTTATAAAGAGAATCAGGCAGTGGGTGATGGAAAAGACATCTCTTCGCCTGAAATCTGGGAAAGTCATTGGCAGTCTTGTCTTCCTCAACCTGGCTGAATGGGTACGCTGAAAATTGGAGCCCAACACATCTGGAGACTGCCAGGTTACGGAAACCATATTGAAAACAGAAACAGAGTGAGTCAGAAGGGGTCTCCCGGGCCATCTAGTCTGACCCCCGGCTCCAGCTGGCTCCGCTCACGACATGCCCACCACGTGCATGTCCAAAGAGACCATATTGGACTCTTATCAGCCTCAGGTGTTCTGTTGGAAAAGGCAGCTCTGTATGATTAGTTTTGTCACTAGTAACTTTTAGATCATCTGTTTCTGAGATGTTTTCAGAATTTTCTTCATTTGCTTATCCATAGATGATTATGTGAGGAAAAGCAGGCTAGTTATTTTGACAAGCCCTTCTTCCTTATTGGTTGTGACAGTATTGTAGACTAGCTAACTCTGCAGGTTACTTGCATTGTTCTGTGTTGTCCAAAGCCCAATGATCTGTGGAAACGAACAAACAAAAAATTAAGGAAAACTTAGAATAGAAAGAGAGAGAGTCTTTGGTGGTGTTTAGCTACGTGAGCAAAGAATTAGAGAAGCAGCAGAGGTTTTCCAGACAGTATATTGTCACATGCTGGTGAAGAAACTTTCGTGTGTTATATTGAGACAAACAAGGGAATGTTTCCTGTCTTCAGACTTTGTTTGCCAGTAGCAATCATCAACCTAGAAGTCCTATTCTGTGGCTGCATAGACTTGGCTCAGATGTTGTACCCAAAGTCTGCCTCAAAATTAGCAGTTCCACTCTCCCTTCACATACTTTGATACTCTGCTGCATTTATGTCAGACAAGAATTTTCCATTACTTCCGGGCAGTACAAATCATGGCTTTTAGAAACAAGAAACCCACTTCTGTTCATGATTTCCAGGCCAGCTTTTCATTGCTCTCAATGTCATCTGCTTGGTTTGGGGGTTATCTCAAATGTCAGTGTTCTGTGAACTGGTGAGGGGCCCCAAAGTGTGGCCAGGGCTGCATGCGTGGTGCAGGGTATCTGTGAAGTTTTCCAGCTACCTGCAAAAGTGTGGTTAATTCAGTTTTAAGAGCACAGCCTTTATTTTTGATGTTTCTGTTCTTTAGGCAATGATTGTTAGAAATGCAAAAGATACAGCTCACACGAAAGCCGAACGGAACATCTTGGAGGAAGTCAAGCATCCGTTCATTGTTGACTTGATATATGCCTTTCAGACCGGTGGAAAACTCTACCTTATCCTTGAATATCTCAGTGGTAAGGCTGCAGCTAAGAACCATAATGCAGATTCTGCTATTGTGGTCAGCAAGCAAAGAGGGCTGGAGGCTTTTCTGCAGACAATTCTTCCTGGCTCTGTTCTTCTACGGAAGATCTTCTACTTTTAAGAAATGCATTGTTCCCTGAAAATGACTTGGGGTACAGTCCTGTGGCTACCAGATAATATAGGGAAAAATATGGATTTTTATCCTGCCCCATAGCCAGACATGGCTGAAAATAATTCAGAGTCGCAGCCCCACTCTCAAAAATGTACTCCGAGGTCAGAGCTGCAGTTCTGATTTTGGAACGCGCTCCACCCTTGCAGATGGTGTGGAAAGAACTCTGAGGCTGTACAGCCAAACTTGGAATTGGCAGCTTGTGGTTCTTTCAAAGGGACAGCGAGAGGGAAAAAGTGTAATATGAGGCATCCTGGCCTCAGCCTCCTTGGGAACTGGGGGAAAAGCATTTAGATGGCCTGTGTTGGCTCTCTGAGTGTGTGGGAGGAAAGTGAAGGCAACCTTTGTCTCCATGCTCCTCCTGCCCTCCTCCTCGTGTTCAGAGGGTTATTTATTTTTATTTATTGATTTGATTTGTATGCCACCCCCTTAGCCATAGGGTCTCTGGGCGGCTCACAACATAATATGGCCATTCACATTGGATTGCATTGCCTGTAACATAATAAGAGTACAGCAGTGCAGGTCAAAATGGACAATTAGAATGGTATACAACCCAAGTTGTAATTTAGTTTTTGTATGCCTATTCTTAAAAATATGAGTCATATTCAGGGTTACCTCTGCATAAAGTCAGCCCACTGAAATGAATTGTACTTAAAGTTTCACTGAGAGTAACTCACATCTAATTCATTTCAAAAGGTTATGCTCTGGGTTGGATTAATATTGGTTTCTACCCTATATAGTTATGCCAACAGCTCTTCCAGTAATTAGTTTTCAGTACCTTATTTTTTTCTTAATCTGAATATTGGGAAAGACACATATACTACTGAATTGCCATGTACCAAGCAGGTGACACAGTGGGTTAAACCGCTGTTCTGCTGGGCTGGTTGATCGGAAGGTCGCCGGTTCGAATCTGCCCAACGGGGCGAGTTCCTATTGCTCCGTCCCAGCTCCTGCCAACCTTGCAGCTCGAAAGCATGCAAATGCGAGTAGATGAAAAGGTGCCACTTTGGTGGGCAGGTAACAGCGTTCCTGCACCTCGGTGTTTAGTCCTGCCGGCCACACGACCACGGAGACTGTCTGCGGACAAACGCCGGCTCCCTCGGCCAGGAAACGGAGATGAGCACCGCCCCAAGAGTCAGGCATGACTGGACTTAATGTCAAGGGGAAACCTTTACCTTTTAATATAGATACAAATGCACTTGATTGATTCCATCCTCCCTTAATTCAATAGTTCCCACTGATTTGGGCTGTTAACAGCAGCTATTGAAGTGTTTGGATAGCACTGACTAAATATGTAAAGCATGCTACATTGGAACACACTGGATAGCAAAGGTGGGGCAGGGGGAGAGTGCCAGAAGTAACTTCCAATGGTTACCTTTTTCAGAACAGCTCACAGATGTCGTATAATCATGACTGTCTCCCAAAGGGAACAGTGCAAACCATGCTGAAACAAGAGTTGCCTGGGGCCCCTCATCTGCAGACTTCCTCTGGTGTAATCAGGCACATTAGTGTCTCTCGTGACTCCTGACTCACAGGTCTTTACCAGAGAGTGGCAGAGAGATAGCTGATCCCTCACCTGTCTTTCTCCCCTTCCCCTTCTCACCTTGGTTGCAGGAGGAGAACTGTTCATGCAGTTGGAGAGAGAGGGGATATTTATGGAAGACACAGCTTGGTAAGCAAAGCAAGGCCTCCGGTCAGAATTTACAAGGCTAGACTAAGAAAGGCTGGGTTCTGTTGAAGGGCGTCTCAAGGTAGCCCCACAGAATGATGGCTTGCTGGAATTCCTTCTCTCTTTGGGAGAAGAGGCAGCTGGCATTTCGGAGTCTGCCTGTCCTCTTTTACGGAGAGAACTTGTTTTTTGTGATGTGGGCTCTTTTGGGCAAGGGAATGTTAAAAAACTGTTGCATAACACTTGCTGTAGCGAAAGTACACGCCAGCTCTCCGGTCTCCCCTCTGCTGTTAAACAAGTGCGGCTCAAGTGTCCATGTTTTATAAATGCTTGCTAAACTTTTCTGTGAACCCAGCTGCCTGTTCTACACCAGGTAGTCTTTGTCTTCTCTCTGGGAAGGACATCTGGATTCACATATAATGCTAAACCATGGTTTATGGCTTTAGCCATGAATTGTCTTGCAGGTAAGCAAAGAAACTGAGGCTTGTTTTCTGGTTCATTTCACTCCTGTCCATTTTGCCAACCTTCAGAGGCTTAGATTTCAGACTGCTCTTTTTTGGGGCCTTTGCTTCAGGGTTGACAAAAACTGGTTTCTATCTGTGACTTGCTGCTAATAATTCATGGTTTGTTTGTGAAGATGGGTTCAGATACAACAACAAGCCAGATTCCAGCAATCCAGCATTCTGTGAGAACCAGGCCACTTAATATCTTGATGGTGCTGGGGTATGTAACTCTTCGATATTGCAGTGTTTAAAAGCTGCAGAGCTTACTCTGCAGTTAAAATGTTGGAGCCCAAAGTACAATTGTCTGCACAGACTCTGAAAGATGTCCCGGAAGAAGTCGTTCAAGTAGCATGTCACAGTTTCTCTCCCCCCTCCTGCTAAAAATAACACTCGAAAGGCTTTCCACCTCATCGCTGGTGCGGGGACAGCAGTAGTCATTTCCTGCTGCATGCCTAGGAGACATGCAGACACAAACCTCAGGAGAGAAGGTGCCCTTTGGTTAAATAATTGTTTCCCCTTGCAGTTTGGCCCCTTCCTGTGAACCTATGCTCCTTAGCCGAAGGATGATGGGAGTTTTAGTCTGAAGCAGTCTTCCTTAACTTGGTGTATTTCAGAAATAGTGGTTTGAAATAGGTTTCGCAGACCATCATTCATCCTGCAACGGACAAAGTATTCTTAGACCTCGTGCTTTCCTTTTGAGGCAGTTTCTCGGTGAGCCAGGAGTAGTGAGCAGATTGGAAAAACCGATTCAACAAAATATTTTGCTAACGATAAACATGCAGCTGTAAGTGGCTTGCTTTGGAGGAAGGTCAAGCCGCTATGCGGATCCTAAAGCTGGGACTTCCAACATGGTATCCCTCCTGATTTTTATTTTACTTTAAATAAACGACTGGGAGGCTAGCAGGTTGAAAAATAAAAAGCTGCCTCCAGCTCTTTTGGGTTCAGAAGCATAGTTTTGTGGCATTCACACCCCACCTCTGTCTTCTGCTTGCATTCTTGGGTTCTTAGGTTGCTTTTCCTTTCAGGCTTCCCAGTTTGTCTTCTCAGAAGTATTTTGTGTTTTGCTGTGGCCAGCATGGCTAAGCCCTCTTTTTTGATGGTCGTTTTGTGGGAATACCCAGGGCATTCACTCCAAATGTACCTGCCAGCTGAAAATGCTTGGGGAACCTTGTTCTACGCTGCGCTCAGGGCAGGCCGTGTTTTCCTGTGATGTCTGAATATTGCACTATAGACTTGTCACACTGAGGTGCAGTGTGTTCACCTCCTAAGAAAACTTAAATGCTTTGCAGCTTTTATTTGGCCGAAATCTCAATGGCTCTGGGGCACCTGCATCAGAAGGGGATCATCTACCGTGATTTAAAGCCAGAAAATATAATGCTCAACCATCAAGGTAAGAAATTCCATAAGGAATTGTCCTGTTAGCAAGTCTTACTGTGTTGCATCTGGGTAAGTTTAACAGAACCCCGGTATGAGACGCTAGAACTAAAACCAGTGTATGAACTGTGTGAGAAAATCGCTTGTTCTTAAACCATGATGAATTTTCAAGGCACTTCTGGTTGGTTCCTAGGCTAGTTTAGTAGGTTGGTGTTAATGTTTGAAGCCCTTTATGGCTTGAGTTAAGTTTCTGCAAGAGAGCATTGTCATCTTTACGAACTCTAGTGCCTCGTGTGTTTGGCACCTCCAGTGAATTGAAATTAATTCATTTGTTGGTGAAATCTCGTTTATCTTCTGTACGGAGCAAGGCCTTTTCTGCTGTAGCTCCTGTATCTCAGAAAACTCTTCCTCATTTGCTTGTTCAATCTCTTTCAACCTATAGAAAAGCAAGCTCATGAGTATTTTTACACATATATAAGTTGTGCCTCAAGCATTTGGAAAGTTTGAAAGGAAGGTTGAATTTATGTCGGTTTCTCACTGTTGTTTTCAGTCTGTAGTATTCAGTGTGTGTGTGTGTATACAACACAACAACTTGATTTATATTTTTTTCTTTGGAACATTTGAGTTGGAAGAAGAGTTATAAATGAAGCCTGTAAATTATTGCATTTAGTTTGCTGTTTCACTCTCAAAGGCCGTTAAAACAAGCTCTTCTTTGCCCCTCTTGTGTTTCCTGTTTAGGTCATGTTAAGCTTACTGATTTTGGACTGTGTAAAGAATCCATTCATGACGGAACTGTCACACATACGTTCTGTGGAACAATAGAATACATGTGAGCCCGCATGATGAAACAGAAAAGTATTACTCTGGTCTGGGGGTAATGGCTGAACTTCACCTTTTTAAAACTTGGCACAATATTTGTTTTTTTGGTTTGTGTTTTGGCTTAGCCTGTCCGTAGGGCTCTGAGCGAATTACATAAATATTTACAGTCTTATCCTTAGTGGAAGATGCTAACACCTTGCGGCTGGGGTTTCCCGAGTGGTCCCTGTGAGCATCAGGGTGCTGCCCCTCTTGATTTCTGTGTTCATTTTTGTTGGTTTGTATTAATTTTCCGTTGTTTTTAGGCGGAAGGCTGGCGTGCCGTGGTGTGAAGCATGCCCTGCAGTGCCAACTTCCTTTGTTTTCCATTGAAAAGTGCTGTGTTTGGGGGCTCAGCCCCCTCCCCCCCCCCATATTATGCTCAGGTTCTTGAGCAAACTGCTGTCCTTTTAGCCTTACTGGTTTGCCTTCTGAGAAATGCGTGTTTTGTGACCTGCCGTGCCCACACAGTAGCCAGTTTATAAACGAGCAGGGCTGCCCATTGTGGCCATTTTGTGAGCGTGCGCCTCTCAATATTCCACGTTTTCTTCCAACCCCAAAAGTGTGGAGGCTCCTGCCACAGGATATGAAAAAAGCTGTATATTCACGGAAGGATGGGTTCTGAGGTATTCAGCGGAGTTTGCTTTTTTCAGTGAATCTGCACGTGCCATTTAAAGTACCCTTAAAACCAGTGACTAGTTTTTCTTCTTGCAGATTCTTCTTAGTCCTTCATGCTGCTGGGTGGTCTGATATCCTGTAGCTGACTCCAGCTCAGTGAAAACCAGTTCCCTGATAGAGATCTAGGAATCCCGAACTCAGGAATTTGGAGTATCTGTCTCTGCTTGTATTGCTCTAATCGGCCGTGCCCCTCCTGAACTGTGGATCCCGAGGCAGCAAGCCGAGTGTTTTATGATCCTCAGAGCAGCCCGTGGTGCAACGAGCAGCACACGCATCCAGTACAACTCGTTTTTACAGGTCACACAGTAGTTCGCTTTGTGGCTCGTAAAATGTGTAACTGCCACCTGCCAATCACACAGAATCGTACACACCAGTCCCAGTGACTCCAAACCCCTGATTTTGGAATCTCTTCCTCCCGACCTGAACTTCAGCTGCAGGTTACACTGAACTAAGGTCATGTTGGCAACAGGTCAACTTTATGTTGTAGGAGAGGCTGATATTAATCCTGGATTCATATATACAGCACTGTCAGTTCACAAGAACTATTGTCTAGTCACCTGGCAGCAACCTTTACTTACCACAGGTGAGTGGCTGTTCGCAAGCCTTTCTGAGAGGGGAAAAGATGCACTGGTACATTTAAAACGTACCTGCAGTGTCTTTGCATGCTCGTGATGTTTGCTCATGCCGGCTGTCACGCGTTGTTCAAAATGTCACTCCTTGCGTGTTTGTTTGGTTTCTCTTATCCACCCAGGGCCCCTGAAATCTTGATGAGGAGTGGGCACAACCGTGCTGTGGACTGGTGGAGTTTGGGGGCGTTAATGTATGACATGCTGACTGGAGCAGTAGGTGCACACTTACGAACCGCATGCGTTTTCAGATCGTTCTCTGCCACTGAGGAGAAGCAGCCTTAAAGCCCCTCGCAGTCTTCCCCAACCTTGGAATTATGGGCGCCTCAGTCCGGCATAGCTAGCAGTCACCAGGTTGGGGAAAGCTCTCCTATTCCCTGCGTGGCACTTCATCTCCTCTTGCGGCAACGCACGGCCAGCACCGGCAGGGTCTAGACGACTGCAGCTGTGCCTCTGAGCGCTTTGGAAAGCCCGGCCAAGTGCTGAACTGGGCAGCGGTCGCGTGCCGCTTTCCCTGCCCTGCGCTGCTCCGCGTGTTTTGGGCTGCGCTTCTCGCCACCCCTTGTTGCATTGGCCCATAATCAGGGAATGGTGGGGTCCAAGATGTCTGCAAAGGTGACCGCCGGGGAAGCCCTCCTCCTGTTGTAGCGAGGAGCTTGTAACGAAGATGCAGCGGAGCATTTTTCTCTGGACTGAGATACGACTGGGTGGGGAGGAAAGGGGACCAGTCTGCCGCCCTCTGGTCCACTGGCTAGAATCCTGGGGTTGGCTTTGTTGTGGTGAATTAGCCTAGTCCGTAGTACCCGTCTCATTCTGGAAACTGCTTCTTAACCCTCGCAAGCATAGGCCGGAGGGGGAAAACCAGACGCTGCACCTTCCTTCTAGCTGTAGAAGAGCGTGCAAGGACATCACTGTCCTTCACTGGCTGAACTGACCTGAAATGGCAGACAGACGGGCTGCCCCCAAACTACCCTAGAAGCTTTGTCCCTGGACACGCAACAGACTTAAATCCGCTAAATTTATCGTTAAGAACCCATGCTCAAACCTAATTTGGCAGTATGAGCACTGCCATTAAAGCAAGATGGTTAAAAAACAAAAATACTGCCCTTTCTGTTGTGTTGTGGTGAGGGAGCTGAACTCATTCCTCTCCTGATGTACTTCCAAAGCCGTGCGTTTGGGACTTCTATCATCACAACCTCGTTTGCAAATTAGTTTAACAGGAACTAATTCGAAACAAAACAAACGAAGATTTTACGTTCATGTGGAAATACCGTGTTATGGTGCACAGTGCCTTACTGCTGCTCTCTTCTCCCCCCCCCCCAAATTTCTCCCATTATGACGGTGTTCTCCAGCCCCCATTCACTGGGGAGAACCGAAAGAAGACCATAGACAAGATTCTCAAGTGTAAACTCAATTTACCGCCCTACCTCACACAAGAAGCCAGAGATCTGCTTAAAAAGGTAGGACTCGTAGGGGAGAATTCAGAAAGACCAGAATCAATTGCTTGTTTATTTCTTTGCTGCGCAAGTCGCAAGGCCAGGAAAGGAAAGTCGGGGTGCAGGGCAGCTCCCCCCCCCCCGATGTTGGGGTGTGGACACACCAAGCACATCAGGGCTCTGCTGGATCGGATCGGATCGGAGTCCTATCTGCTCCGTCCTTCCGTTTGTGCAGTGGCCAACCAGCCACCCACAAGCAGGCCCTGAGTGCGCCAAGGCCCCCCGCCCATGTTCCCCAGCAGCTGAGCGGCACAGAACATAGATCCCCGACCCTCAAAGTGGCATTGAGGCATCGGGGCCAGTGATGGCATCGGACCCCGGGCACGGTGGGTGGGGTGGAATCAGGGATCTTTCCCCCACGTCTTTCTCCATCCCCGGGCTGGAGTGCAGCAGGTGGCTTTGCTAAGAAGACATGGTGGCATCTGGGTCAGAGTTTGGGCCCAGCGCTACAGAATGAGCCTGAAACCACGCAACGCACTTCAGTCTGAAGGCCTGACATCAGCAGTCCAACGTCACCTCCTGTACCTGTGCCCGGAAGGTGCCATACCTGGCATCTCTGCTTTTGCAGTGATGGGTAAAAGGGCCAGGCAGGCCCTGTTGCAGCCTCTGTTGCTTTTTCAAAGACGTATTCTTTTCCCCCAAGCTGCTAAAGAGAAATGCTGCCTCACGCCTCGGAGCTGGTCCTGGGGATGCTGGAGAGGTTCAGGTATGCTTCACACGTTGGGGTTGGCCTCGATGGCCTCGTGGGGCCTCATCTGACGCTACGATCCATTGCTTCCACGCTCGCTCCTCCCCCAGTGACCACTGAGCGTCTTGAAATCCTTCAGTATGCTTGTGTGTACTTTACACACAGAGCTGTTTTTAAAAAATTCTCCCCCTTCCTCTGTTGAAAGCCATGGCAAAAGCATTTCAAATTATGGAAAATTGATTTCGTTACTTAGATTAATAGGGAAATATACTTCAGGCTTTGCTGAAATATCTTGAACACCCACAGCACATTAAATCCAATCCAGGCTGGGTGTTGTTGGAACCAGGCAGGCCTTGTATGTTACTCTGCTAAGCTTTTTTCTTATATTCTGTATGATAATTTTGATCATATTCTAGAACAGTGTCATGCTATGAAGGGTGGGTTAAAAATATTTCAATAGACAAACCCATTTTTAATTTATTTATTTTTGGCTTCCCCGGGTTGGGTATTGATTGACTGATGTGCTTTTTCGTAGGCTCATCCTTTCTTCAGGCATATTAATTGGGAAGAGCTGCTTGCCCGGAAGGTGGAACCACCATTTAAACCATTATTGGTAAGTATCAGAAATATTTCTCTGGGGTTTTGCAGCATCATTTACCATGTAGTCTTATTGTCTGCCTTATGCATCATGGTGTGTTGACCGAAGGGTGGGCAGGTTTTTGTGCCTAACGCTTCAGCTGTTGGGCGGTGTAGAAGTTAAATAAATATTATCGCCAAGAGAACTTTCTTGCTGGCTTATCTGCCCTTCAAGTTAACTTTTAAATGCAGCTAACAGCAGAAGCAAGGCAGAGCTGCTGGTGGACTACTTCCAGAAAGTCCAGTATTTCCGGACTTTTCTGTGCATGCATAATCCATAGTTTCCAAGCTGTTGTGTCAGTGCATTACAGCCCTGATGCCTGGGGATCTCCAAGACGCATCCAGCTTCTGTAAAATTTGCATTATTTGAGGCACATCTCTTTCACTTGAGAGAGAGCTTGAATGGGCAGGGGGCGCACCCCTTCTAAGCCCCCGGAGCCCTCTCTCCAAGCCGTGGGCTTCCCCTCTTCTGTTTGCCCTAATTTCCCCATCCGCAGGGTCTGTCCGCTGGCTGGACTCCAGCGTCTCCTCTCTACCGAACGCTTCCCCATCCAGAAGCGTCTTTCTTCTTTCCTTTCCCATCAGCTAGAGCTGATCCAATCATGAACCTGCCCACCCCTGTCTTGTGTTCTGTTTTGCAAAGCAATCTGAAGAGGATGTGAGCCAGTTCGATGCAAAGTTTACCCGGCAGACTCCCGTTGATAGCCCAGACGACTCGACTCTCAGTGAAAGTGCCAACCAGGTCTTTCTGGTGAGTAAGCGGGAGACTTGCCGAGTCCTGGCCTGCAGCCCTCAAGTAAGTGTTAGCAGCCTGTCTGGGGGGCCGCAGCCCCGCACACACGGAGAGAGACCCAGGAGTGTGCTCTCCAGAATTCCCGTGGGAGCTTGGCCGACGGAAACATGCCACAGGCGCCTCGCTGTCCCCTGCACTCCCGTGTCCCACCTCTGCCGCGCCCCCTGCGCTGCCCCTGATCGCATGCAGAGGCACAGGGCCTCTCGGCCCCGAGGCCAGCTCCGGTGCTGGCGGGGAGCCCCGCAAAGGATGGGCACCCCAGCTCCCGGGCGTTCCCAACACTGCCTTGTGTCCACTGGGTTCTCGCAGTCAGCCTACGAAGAGTTCTAATTCTCACACATCAGCAGGGACCGGTAAAAGGCTTCCTGTCCCCTTTCCCAAATTCAGGCTGCCAAGACAAAGAAGGCACGGCAAGACCAAGCTTCGGCTTTCCGAAAGCACAGCCAGCTTGGTTTCGGTATGCCAATAAATGCCTCACCAAGCAATGCCCTTGTGCTTTCCTTCTGAGGCCTTGCATAAAGAGGACTTCCATCCAAATAACAATTAATTAGCCTTGCAATACACCAGTTTGGCTTAATCCTTGCAGACTTCGGTCGGGGCACCTCGGGGGGGGGGGGTTCTGCTGAAGAACTCAGTGGGTCCCTCAAGCCAGCGCTCTGCCCACCTCCTGCTTCACCTTCATTCCTCGGGGTAAATTGATGGGAGTTGTCTGTCTGGGCTCCGAGTAAGGCTGAGTTGGAGAAGTGGAGTAACTCCCGTCATAATGCACAGCGTACCTCCTAGTTCTTTGTGTATGTGGGGTGTTTTCCCATCTTCCAGGGTTTTACATATGTGGCTCCATCCGTACTTGAAAGCGTAAAAGAGAAGTTTTCCTTTGAACCAAAAATCCGATCACCTCGCAGATTCATCGGCAGCCCAAGGACACCAGTCAGGTACTTTTCTCTGTCCCCTCTTTCCTTCCCCCCCAGTGAGTAGTGAGTAGCTGTAAGAGGGTTACTTTTCAAGATGTTGAGATCCTGAGGAATTTGGGAGCTAATGCAGCAGTTAATGTTTCAGCTGAGAAACGCAGCACCTTCCCGGTAAAACGCTTGCTTTGGGTGCCGAAGATCCCAGCCAGAGCCGCTGCTAATCCCCGTACAGGATAAGTGGATCCACGGCTTGTTTCTAAACACAGGGCTGCTTCCTGTGTTACACTGCTTGCAGAGAGAGGCGTGTGTGTGCGTCTAGAAAGCTGCGTGATATTTTGGCACCTCTGGCGAGACGGCTGCTTGCTTCCCCGGGCACGGGAGATTTTTTTGACACAGCTGCCAGGCTTACCAGAGAGAGAGCGCGAGAGAGAATGGTCCACGCACGCGAGCTCTCGTCCCTCTGCTCCTTTTCGGCACCCTTGCGGCTCCCATTCAGAGGAGCTGGTTCAAAAGGCAGGAACAGGAACCGGACGTGGACCCTCACCAGGGCCAATGCTTTGCTTTCTTGCAGTTCAGAAGGTGGCCACTCTGTGTGTGGTCCCCCCCCCCCCCGAAACCTGCTTAATGGACGCTTCTTGTCTTTTAAAGCCCTGTAAAGTTCTCATCTGCGGACTTCTGGGGACGAGGTAGTTCTTCCAGCGTGACAAATGCGCAGGTCCCAGTGGAATATCCGATGGAGACAGGTGGGATCGAGCAAATGGACGTGACAGTCTGTGGAGAAGCCTCAGCTCCACTTCCAATCCGACAGCCAAACACCGGGCCATACAAAAAGCAAGCCTTCCCCATGATTTCCAAGCGGCCGGAGCACTTGCGCATGAATCTATGACAAAATCAGCGGCAATCATTTCCCACAGACACTGCTCGGGCGGCAAAAGGAACGCAAGAATGAACCTCTGGGGGGGCAGCCCCTTCCCATCACGCCGAAACAAGAGGGCTCTTGAAGCTTTTTTCCTCCTCAGTGGTGGTATCAAAGTCAGTAATTGCACAGAATAATGGACTGGGAAAAAGAGCGAAACCCGTGGATCTCCCTTCCCCTTTCTTCTCCTTGGAATCAGTGGTGCATAACGTGAGGACTTAAAACGGGGTCCTTCAACTCTTGCAGTGCAGCGGACAGGCAGGCAGCGTGGCGCCCTTTCTGCTCTCTCCGGGTTTCTTCCGGATCACTTGAAGCTGGCAGTATTGTGGGCAGGACGCAGCTTCTGTGTCATCGCAGTCGAAGGGTCACCCCGTCTCACGGGGTGACCGTGCCCAAGGACTGATTCCCGTGTGAGCTTCTCTGGATGGCTTCTTGCAGTGGTGTAAAACTGGAGGTCCAAGACAAACTCCCCCACATGCAAAAACTAAATGAATCTTTTTTAAAAGGAAATATAAATATATATATTTTTCAAATAGGTTTTTTTCCCTTCCTTTTTTTTTTCTCTCAAGTTGGCTTGTAACATTGGAACATATCTCATACTTGGAAAATATGGAATTATTGGTTTGATGCAGCGAAAAGAAAAGAAAAAAAGACTCTCAATTGGTTTGTCCTCCTAGTGAAATAATGTTTTTGTAAAAAAAGAAAAAAGAAAAAAGAATAAATAAATCACTGTTGATTATGTTACTGGGATTGGGGTGGGTGAGAATTTACCCTGCCCGATTGTGTTTCGATGCCTCTTGTTAAGAAGTGGATCAGGTTGTGTGTGCTAAAAACCTTGGCTGCCGTGGAAGCCTTTGCGCTCCTATCTTGCACCTCTGACGTTCACATGGAGTTTCCTGTAGGCAGAGTGTTTCTTCCTGCTAGATCTGAGGTAGCTTGCTTGCTGCCATGGGTTTACAGTGCGGTCTTGCATTTTCATCCTTCTCAGCAGAAAACTGCTGGTTAAAAGCATTTTATAATTTCAAAGACACCAGAACATGTTCAGATTATTAAGCCATCAAAAAATGGAGGGGGGGGATGGGACAGTAAGCGTATCAGAAAGGGTCACAACCAGGTTGTAGCAATCAGATTGCTACAACAGACTGTTAACAGTTCTTATTTTTATAATTTACAATTATGCTGGTCTTGCAGCTAAGTGGTAATGCTTGGAAGAAATGGTCTTCTCCTATCTTTGCTCTACTCCTTGTTTCCATCGTGAACTACAGTACCCGTCTTTTCCTGTGCTGGGGCAATCCATCTGCTGATTGTATTTAAAACAACACACAAAAGTATTACGATGGCCTTCAACGAATGTCTTCCAGAGAACTTTTGCAATTTAATTTTAGGAAACGTTCAAAGGGGTTTACTATTTATGTTTTCTGCGATTGTTACTGAAGAAACAAACAATCTGTACAAATGACTTTACAGGTACAAAGAATTAAATAAAGGTATCTTTACCTTAACTTAAAATCCTTCCTGCCTTAAAGAAAGCATTTCCATGGACATAACCGGTGAAAGGGTTAATGAGGGTTTGCAGAGCTTTGCGCCAGTGTAGTGTGTGTGTGTGTGAGCGAGCGTGTCTGTGAACATTTGCATAAAGGTGCCGCCGTGTACAAGCCTTCCTGACTTGTTTCGCGTGGCACGCTTCTGTCTGTGCAAACTCTGCTCCTTCGGAGCAAACTTCTGTTGCTTCTTGATTTTGATTCTTGAGCCATAGGATCCAAGCCATAACTTTTGCATTGTTGTTTTCTTTGACTCTAGTTGGAGGCTTCCCCCCAAAACGAGGTAGCTTGAATGAAAGATGACCTGCTGTTAAGCTCCATGAGTTGGATCCTGTTTTGGATCCTGGGTATCTTTGGATTCCGCCCACCCACCAATTGCACTGCTCTGCACTGCATCCTGTGCTGTAGGTAAGAAGGCCAAGCAGGGCTCCAGCTGTAGACTTCGCCACACACAGCTTCCCTCCCCTCCCCTCCCATCTCCCAATTTGCACAGTTTTACTTTTAAAGCGGGGGAGATGGGCGACACAGTCCAGTAGAAGAAAGGGGACTGCATGGGAAGTGTGAAGAATTAAATTGGCTTTGCTGTGTGCCAGCCACTCAGTTCCAGTAACGGTCAGATGGCTGAACCAGGAAGGGAGGGTGAACCCGATCTGCACCACCTCCACGGAAGTGAGCCCCCTCTCCCCGCACAAAATATCAAGACTGTTGCCACCAGTTACCTGCATGGTGCAGATACACCTATGTACCTGGACCAGTGCAGGCTTTCACTGTGGCAACAGTCGAGACCAGAGCTTCGAAGCCGAGCTGGACCACGCCTGAAGTTCAGCATGCTCCGAGGAGCAGAATTGCAGGTGCGCAAGCCACATCGTGTGTGAGTGGGCCCTTCTGAGCACAAGCCTCACGGTGCCAGTTCCCTCCTACACACACACACGCATGCGCCCTCTTGTGGGGGCATCTCTGAGGCAGGTTAAACGTGGAGTGTCTGCATCGGTCGGCATGTGTGGATGTGAAGGCGGCGCTGGGCATTTCGGCTGCCACCCTTTGGTGCCTCTTGCCACCGGACAGTAGCTGGATTGTACCTTGTATGTGATACGGGCTCTGGAGAACTTGGGCTGCGTTTTCCTGCTGGTTAGCTTTGCAGGGAAAGCCCCCCTCAGGCGACTGGAACGCATTCGGATTCCCCAGCAGCCTTCCACGGTGTGGTGCTGTCTAATGTGTTGAAGGGCAGCGCCTGTCGCTCCCAGCCTGGCGCTCAAGGGCACTGTGCCGGGGGAAGGTTCCTTAGACAGCAGGCTGGACAGACTGCCTTCCGCTTCAGCATGATAGACAGTGAAACAGCAGCTGCTCTTGCCCAGTCCGTCGAGAGACAATCTCACTGGGAGCTGTGGTGATGGCTGGAGCTTCTGTTTGACTGCAGAAGTGCACAATCATTTGGATACCGTTCCCTAGAGATGGGCAGTGTCCAAGCCCGGCTGGAATTGAGCTAGGATTCTTGGGAAAGTCCAACTTTGCAATGAGACCTCTTGGATTTCTCCCTGTCTTGTTCCTAAAATGGGATAGCCATCTCCTGTGATCTCACGTACGTGTGTGTGTGTGTGTGAGAGAGAGAGAGAGAGTGTTACCGTTCTTCCGCTAGATAGAACTATCTCAGCCTTCCTCAGCCTGGTCGGTTGGCTGGGGATGATGGTAGTTGCATCCCAACATGTCTGAAAAGAACCAGGGTAGGGAAGGCTGATCTGTTGGGTGGCAAGTAGCTGGTACAGCTGACAGAAAGTGGCACAGCATTTTTGAGTCTGCTTTGCCTGACACGATCATTTCACTAGAAGTCAGCTTCACATGTTATTTTTATCCTCTCTTTAACTGTGAAACCTCTTTGGAATCGTGACTTTGGATGGCAAGCACACACTATGCAATATGGTTTACGCTGTATTTATTTGTATAAAAATAAATATCCAAACCTTGATTCTCTCCCTCCTGTATATAGCTGTTAGCATTAACTAATATTAGGGGATGGGACAGTATTCCTTGTACAACTTCAGAAAGAAGGGGAGTATATGAAATGCAGTGGCTATTGGAGAACTTAAGTGCTTTCTTTAAAAATAAATGTCTTAAATTTTCATTAGGATATAGTAATTAAGATTTATTTTGTACAAGCTGCTTTTTTAATTATCTTTGGATTTTTGCTATAATTTGATTTTTTATAGATTTTTGTACCATTATATTAAATAATAACTGGGTTTGAAACATGCTGAAGCTAACTACATGTTTTAAGTATTAAATCTTGATAACTTGAACTATGCTTTATTTCCACTAGATCCATGGTATTGAAATGAAAGCAGTGCAAATTGTAAACTGCAATTCATGTTGAAGCCTAAGGAAATAAATAGGTTGGCTGGGTGAAGGGCCCTTCCCCCAGTGAGGTACCCAGGAAGGGGGTGGGGAGCAGGAAGGCGGTGTTAAAATCAAGACCCTTACCTTTCCTTGTCAAATGAATGATGTAATTACTCTGTGATATGTTTTAGGGATCTCTGGTGGGCCACTTCTCTGGCTGGGTACCAGCCACCCTTAGACCGCCTCGGTTAACTTCATCCCGTGTTCTGAGCTTACCAAGTTGCCTTGTCCAGTGGGCCATTCCTGGGCCAGGCTCATGAACCCTCACCCCCAGCTCTCCCCGGCTACTGTTCATGGTTTTGGGTTTGTTTGTTTTTTAGTATTGCTTTTGCAGTTTGGAGTATCTTCGCTTTCATAGGTGTAAAGCTATAGTGGCAGCGTGGATCTGGCATGCAGGGGGGAATAGGGACGGCGCTTCCTTCAGGGCTTGAGCGAGCTGTTCCACTAAGGCTGTGCTTGCCAGTAAGCCAGAATGCCGGCTGAACTGGGCTTCGTAGGCTCAATTTATGGGTAGCGCCTCTGTGCTACCGAGGATGAGGGAAAGACAGGCGAGTCTGTAGCATCTTTCTCCAGGTGAGTTCCTTATTCCTACCTGTTCCAGATGATCTAAGACTGTCACATAAGAACATCAGAAGTGCAGCAACTGTATTACACTTGGGAAACCCATCGGCTGCTATATTCTGACTCTGACCTCTGTAGCAATAGAGGACAGGGTCATAATATGACAGATCCCCACCCAGCACCATTAATCTGCAAGCATCCACTTCAGGGCAATCTCTTGCAAGCCCTGCCAAAATGAACGGCCATTGCTGGATGGGAGTGACCGGGGATCGTCTTGGAGCCAGTATAATGTACGTTCCACTTAGAATATATTGCGGGGTGTGAGCAGCTGCATTTCAGCTTTTGGAAGAAGGCCAAAAGAGAGTGCAGGCTTCACATCTGTTTTGAACAGCGCATATTGCTTGAGAAATGAACACTTCCACTCCGCATGTCTGATTTGAGGAAGGAAAGGGGACAGGGGTGGCTTTTATCTGTATGCTTCAAGAAAATGTTCTTTCTACCAGGCTTTAGCAAGTTGTGTAGCCATCTGTAAACAATCAGACTACAGCTGCCTTACTGGGAATGGTATGAGGACAAGCATTCTTCCTGCATTTCATTCTGTACTACTTACTGTAATGAAATATACTTGATTTCAAAACAAATGGATGTAAATAGCAATTAAATGCAACTTTGGACAAACACATGAATAGTGATTCTGTTTGTGGCTCGTCCTTAAGTCCTTTTTGAAATACTTGGTTGATCTTATAAACGTTGTGGATGCAAAGCAACCCCAGGTAGACGTAGATTCAGAGGTGAAAAATATGCCTTGCTTTATCCCAGCCTGATGGCCTCCAGATGTTGTAAACTTGCATCTTGGGATACCTGAGGGTTTGCTGGGACTGATAGGTACCCCACTGGCTGGGCCTGATGGGAATTAGGAGGTCAAAACATTGGACAGGAACCAGAACTGATGACTATTGCTTAGCAAGTTTGCCAGTCAGAAATGTATAAATACAAAAAGGGTAATCAGGTATTTCGGATGAATAGATTCAAACTGCCTTTATTTTCACCATCTGTGTGGTATTTGTTACAGTCTCCCCCCATATTAGATATCCCCCATTTAATAAAATCTAGCTGCTTATGACAAAATATAGTACTCAATATTTTGGTTTTCAAAAATGCAGGCTTACAAAAGTAGAAAAGAAATTCATTTGTGTGCATAACTGAAGTTCAGATCTACAGAACCTGAGAGCGAAAATCATTCTGTATTTCTCACTGTAGGAAGTCTAATTAAGGGTATCCAGGAGGTGGCTTCTTTCTTCGACAGCCAAACCCTGCAAGCTTGGAGGAGCTGGTTCAGAATCCAAGCTTTGCACTTCAGCATCTCGGGTGCAGTACTGAAGGTATCTTTGTTGCGGCTTTGCAATGCTGTATAGAGGCTGTTGCTACTGAATAATGATCTTTGTCAAAAGTTCATTTCTTTAGATAATTTATGCCCAGAAGGGTGAACTTCAGGTGGAGATTGTCAAAAGAAAAAGTTTGATTGTTGCTTTGTGTCTCAATGGGCTCCTGTTGTAGCACAGGGAAGGCTTAAAGCCTCGAGTTGGTATCTCTTCTGTTTCCCCCACCACACGCCACCAGTACCCTAGAAACGTATTCCCTGAAACTGCAAGCCAGGCATTCGAATGAGATTACACTGTGAAACATGTTGTCAGCAGGATTTTAATAGACCTGTAGCTGTACAGATGTTGCCCCGTCTTTCCACTTGTTGATGTGGTCAGTGATGACTGTCCTGCAGAGGGGGCACGTTTTCTCTCTGTTGAACCACAGGGCTATGCATTCTTCACAAAATATGTGCTGCAACGAGATTTAGTCCCAAGAGTTGGAAATTAGATTGTCTTTGGCAGGTAGCTTGCTTCAAATCCCTTATCTGCAGCTGGTGTCCAGCAGGGGTGTGCAAGCTTCCCACAAATGCATCGGCCTAGAGATAGCGAATAATTCTGGTGTGAAGCAGCCAGATGGGTCTGGGTTCGCTTTGGCTTCACACCAGGCAAGATGTGTTAGAAGGTGGCAAATTGTCTTTCAAGGGATCTTCTCCCCCATTGCTCATCTTCCTACTCAAGAACTCCAGGTAAAGCTTCCTAGGAGCCCAAGTTCACAGAACATCTGAACCTCTGCCAGTGTTGGACAAGGGTGGGTCCCAGTTTGGCCCGCCACCTTTTCCCCACCAGCTTTTTGGTTTCCCAGCTTTTGTGCAAATTTTCTTCCATTCTGAAATGTGTCTCCCAAGGTTTTGCTACCGTAAATAAGAGCTTTAACGTAAAATACTTACTTTTCAGTAGTAGTTGTAATTTTTGGTCCCACCCCTCCCTCCCCCTCCATCACTGGAACACAGACCCAAAAGTTTCCCCGAAATCGAACTGAGTCCTCGCACTGAAAAATGTTCAGCGAGGATGGTAGAAACGGCTAGCCGTTCAGGCCAACATGAGACGAAGCGGTGGCTGCCCTGTGAGCAGCTCACAAGCGCTGAATGTTTTTCTCAGCCAGCAGAGCAAGGTGGAGGAGTACCTGGCAGATGAGAAGAAGGGGCTTCTGGAATTCAGCCTGGCAGATGGAGCAGAGGTCATCTGCTTCGGCACACTGCCTCTTGCTGGCCGCCACTCCGTAGCTCTGCAAAGCGCAAGGAGGAGAGAGGAGAGGTAAAGGCCTAGAGCATGTCAGAGGAGATGGGGAGAGGATGACGCAGCGAGGAGGAGTGGGGTGGGGGGGTGTAACCGGGCTGGACCCGATGGCCTTCTGGCCCCTTCCCACTCAACTCTTCCATCCTTGCTGCCCTACCTGAGGGGGCTGTTGTGCTACCCTGACACCGCAGAGACATGGAGGCTTGTCTGAGAACGTCTTGTGCGCTTGGGACAGAGGTGAGGCTTGAGTTGCAGCTTTCCTGCTTTGCCTTACCCATTACGTGCTCCACTTACAGATCCATTTTCTAATCGTGAGGCTGGCCAGGTTTTCAGAAGAGCAGTGGGACTTTAAGGATATGGGTGGCTCCAGGGCTCCCTCTGCTGGCCTAGCACCAGGATCAGGCCCAGGTGCTGCTGCAGGTGAAGGCGCTGATGAGTACCACGTGGGAGTCCTGGGGAAAGAGCTGCATAACCGCAGGCTCTTGCGCCCAGGAGCTGCCTCAGCACTGCTGGCCTGCACGGAGCCTCTATACTCGCAGTTTGTCGGACCGGCTGCTCCAAGGTACCTGCTTCCTGTGCTCTCGGCCAGTTCCTGACCTCTTCGGACTGTGCTCTTGCTTCTCAGACTCTCTCCTTGCTCTCGGTTCTGGCCTTGGGTTGTCTGGGAGTATGACTTAGCCTTTTTCACTGGCCTGACTATTGGGCTCTGGGCTTGTATCACTCTAGTGCTTGTGGCCAGGGTCCCCGTGCATCTCTCTAATACCCTGCTGCCCACACCCTGAGCAGGCCCTGGTGCCTATTCCTTTAAAATGAGATGTTCAGGCCCATGGGCCAACTCTGGCCCGACCCCTGGAGTCCCCAGTGGGTCGTGCCCCCTTCTGCACATTGTGCCCCTTTCTACAATTGCCAGCATACAGGCAATTTATAGGCAATTGTAAGGTAATGGTTCATATTCTAAAAGGTTACACTGCCTCTCCCTAGGCAAGCTAAAATAATCCAGTATTTTGGCCCTTTTACTAGGATGCAGCCCCTTGTCCAAAAAACAATTCAGCCCTTGAGCTGAATGCCACTGAATGTGCTTCGTAAGCTCTGCGAGGTCCCAGGGAACGCTGGAAGTTGCAAAACTTTTGTCTGTGTAAACCTGCATGAGAATGGACATTTAGTGGCAGACCAGGTAGTGTAACTAACTCATTAACAGCTCTTCTGGGTGTTTGCTTGACCAAATGTGAGTCACTTTTTGAAGATCCAAATTCACACGAAGGCTATGGCAGTTTCAGGGGGAAAGGATTATAGTTTGCTGTTTCCTTTTTAAAAAGCTATGGATACTCACCGGTCGTGTATAAAATACCCGCAAGACCCGTCTGAAGTTTTTTAGATGTCCAAACAAGCTCAAAAGCTACAAAATGAAAATGGGGAGAAATTACTGTTTTTTTCTTTCTTTCTTTCCAGAAGCATACTTTTGAGCCTTGGCACTTAGCAGTGGCCTGGCACTTTTTAAAAAAAGTATAAAGGTCTTAAGTAACAGCAAGATCAGTTGGGCTGCTCCACAAGTGAAACCTTCAAAGCCTAGGGACTGGGAAATCCAAACTCAATAGTTAGGCCGTATCTTTCTTATGCCCAACCAAAATGCTAGAAAAGGTTGTTTGAGTTTTCTGCAGAACTTTTAATCAAGCTGGGTACCACAAGAGGAAGGAGATGAAGATACAGTTTTGAAAATCAGGCCGGCAGGTGTGTCCACGTGCTCTGCTTAATGGTCTCTGTTATAAGATGGAACGATTCAACCATGCGTGCGTTGGGGAATAACATTCTGGGGCAAAGAGCCATGGCTTCCAACCCCATTTTGCAAATTTAAAGACCTGCTTGTAACTCGGATCTGCTCCTTGTCCTGCCTGACAGACGTCTCTGAGCAAGCACAGAGTGCGAATAAAGAAGGTGGCAGCCTTTACTAGGAAAGCTGAAGATCTATTTTGTCCCTTATGCCTGAGTTCACTACTGGCGGGAAATTAGAAAGAATGTAAGGTTCTTAAATTAAAATTAGGGAAGCTAAGCGGACGTTTTACTCGTCCCAGCAATGCCTCCTGTTACTGAAGTAAGGACCAGAGGGGCCTGAAATGGAGAGGATTTGGGAAAGATGAACGTGCACACGCAAAGGCTGTGGTTGGGTGTTTCTTTGTTGCATTGGTGTCACTGTAATACGTTCAGAAGGAAATCGGTGTGTACCTTTAGGATAAGGTAGAGCAGAGCTAGCAGAATGCCAAGGCTCCATCCTAGCATACTGTTCAGCTCCCTCAAGCCAACAAAATACCGGAACCAAACTGGTACAGGGACAACCCTACGGTAGTACTGGCAGAGTTCTTCTAACAGCATGTACCAGTAACCCTGCGGAAGACAGGAAAAGACAGATATTCAATCAGAGAATCTGGGGGCATAGTCATACATTCTGGCAGATTTCTAAAGATATTCAAGAACCCAAATAATTCCAGTCCGGAAATGACCTAGGGTCCAGTCCTCCTTGGACTGTGTCTTTCTAGAAGTGGAGAGGGGGTGTTTTCCCACAATAAAATAAAAAATTGCCTGTACATAGAAAGGTCCCGTGTAGTTACACGGCTACGCTAGAGAGCTACTACCTGACATATACTTGATTTCCACAGGCAGGATGTCTTTGTTTTAAGGTGCAGGACTCTTTAAAACCAGTCTTCTATCTGCAGTCTAAAGGGGGTAGGCCACTGAATGGGAATGGTTCAGAAGATCATCTTTCCCTGAGATGCATACAGGAAACTCGTGTGGATTGTGTTTATCGATTGCTCAGCCTTTTGAGTTGACCAGCATTTTTTTCGGGAGCAATAGAATTGTGCAATATATGGAGAGTTTCTTTATAACTGACATTTCATTAGCCATAACCCCAGACCAGAGGTACAAGTTTTACAGCTACTGAAGCCAATGAAAGAGGTAAGTCCCCCTTTTGTAATTCGAGGTAATTTCTTCATATAAATATGGACAAGCTTCACTCTATCATATATACATAGAGAAGCAGTGTCTGAAATCTTTGCCTGGCAAAGCTTTCAAACAGTTTTTACCAAATCAATAATTCATATCTCTGCTGATCTGGCAGGATTTTCATTGTTCACCTCTGGAAAGATAATGCTTAATGATTTATTTTTGCTTGGCTGTTCCTGCCTGAAAGCAAAACAGATTTCACTCGGTCATCAACCCCTTCTCCTCTTGCTTAAATTGTTTAAGCTTGATAAAATACTCGCTAATCTTTAATCATACTTCAAAGTATTATGAAGAGTCAGCATTAATGTTGAATACTTTGTAGAATACCCTCTAGTGCTAATCACTAAAGGCATTTAAGAGTGTGTATTTATTTTTTAAAGTATAAGCTTAACTTCTGGCCAGGGGCTTAACTTAACCAATACAAGCTGCTGTTAATTATGAAGAAAGGTACTTGCCCCTCTCACTTTAATGCTGCTATTATTATGCTATGAAAACAAGTCAGCAAAGAGGGCAATAAAGGTTCGTTCATCCCTTCATTCTCCCAGCGGGGTTCTCTAATGAAGCTGGCTGGTGACAGATGCGGGACAGAACCATTTCTGCAAGATGGCGACTTTGGCCCAGGCATAGACTCTCGGCCTCGCCTTCCTCCCACACTGTGTCCCATGTTGTGTGGACAAAACTGAGAAGAAGGATTATGTAAGCCTGGGTTCCTTAAAAGAAAAAGAGGCAGGATACAAATACAGGAAAGGGAGGAGAGAAGAACTTCCACTTGACAAAATACAGTAATTTTGGCATCCCGATGTGTGATTAAGCTTTTGTCGTGTGACCACCAGCTGTTTTTATTAACTATTATGATATTTTTAAAAATTCTTGTTCTCTTACCTTGGACTTAAAAGACATGATAAAACAAGGCAGCAACAGAATGATGCACTTGAAGCTCATAAAGAGGAACTTCAGAATGAAGTCCGTGATTCCCACGATCCAAAGGACCTCCCAGAAGTTCATAAAATCCAAACTAGGACTTAGAAGGATCAGGCTGAGGGGAAAAATTGAATCAGAATGTTAAGGCAGTATTTTTCCATGTAAAAGGTTAGTATGAGCATCATTCCTTCTAATACTGATTCAATCTTCCCCACACTCACAAATTTTCCTTTGCTTTTTACTCTAATTCTACCCTGTTTAGAACTCTTTAATTTTTTATATTATGCTTTATTATACAACTGTATTTTAGTGTTTTGCAACTTGTTCTGTCCTGTTCTGAAGCCAGAGAACTCTGGCTATCAGGCAGGACAGAAATGCATCTATCTCCCCTTTTGCTCAGACCCTCACTCACTGGTTCTACTTACCCCTCACAGCCAGCCCCTTCCCCACAAATTTGTGAAGCCGCCTTTTAAAGCCAAGCAGGGGCTGTCCCTGGGGAGTAAATGCTAGAAGTGTATCATGCACTCAGAAATATTTCCCCCCTGAATGTCCCGCCTTGCCAATTTCACTGAGTTCTACAACTGAGGAAAAATAATTCCTGTTACCCATTTTCTCTGCTCCCTCCATACTTTATGATCATACCTGCTTTGGTGACTTCTTTTTTAAAACTAAAAAAGCCTCCAACTAGAGAATCAAGTCTGGTGCATACTGGAAATGGGCCTGCACTACAAAATTACCTGTAATGAAGTGATTGAGCGTAGAAGGTATAATAGAGGAGGAGAGATGACCCTGTGAGAAACACCAGTATCCAAGCACACTGCAGTTTGGAACATCGTTCCTGTAAGAGAAAAGCGGTTTAAGATTTCACTTCAGTTTTGCCGGCTTTCCAGTTTTAGAGGCGAGACATTTAAATAGGCTGCCAAGTTCAGAAAGAAGACCCCGGCCTTCTCCATGTGTTTTTAGAGGATTAACGATCCCCCCCCCACACACACACACAGATAATTAGACCACAAGGTTTATTATCGAAGGATTTCATCCTGTGCATGTTTACATAAGTCATCCCCACTGGGCAGGCTGGGAGTTAAAGGCATTTCTTCCCATTTGGCAACCTGAGGTTAGGGAAGGCCAACTGACAAAAGAGCGTGAGGATTATGTTCTTACCAAAAACAAGAACATATTTCCACATTTGTTGGTTTGCTTATTTATTTCATTTTTATACTGCCTGACAGCCCAAGCACTTTGCCTGATTAACAAAGCTTAAAAACAGACAACAAAAATTAACGTAAAATAACAAAACGACAGCAAGTGCAACTGAATCAGCATAGAGGTGTAGCAGAGGCCTGGGACAGAATGCAATATCAAAACTAAATTTTAACAGTTGCCTTGTTAAAATGCTGGGAAAATAGGGAGTTGCACCTGGTGCTGAAAAGAATGCAAAGTATTCTTTGGCACACCTCTCTCAGTGCATTTCATAGCCAAGGTGCCACAACCGAAAAGGTCCTTCCGGTCGCCACCTGCCTCACTTTCTTCGGAGGAGGCTCCATGAAAAGAGAGCAGTGCTTACTGTAACTTTTGTCCTTGGGATTTCAAATGTGATCCGGAAATGTACGACTCTGCGAGTGGCGCCGTGCCTAGGCCAGTGCTTCTGAGCTGCTTACGAGCAGCATGAAGCCCACAGGGCTGCTTGGCCACAGGTATATTATGCCGCTGACTGACCCCCACCTTGCCCAGCCCTGGGATTCTTGGCTCAGCAGGCTCCCTGCAAATCATGCTTTGCTAAGTTACGTGTCATGTTTGTTTGCTTAAAACATTTTTATGCCGCCCCCATCGCAACAAAGCCTCGGGGCGGCTCACAACAAAAACAAAATACATAAATATAACAATTATGCAAGTAAAAATATTAAAACCCGGTGCATCTCAGCTAAAAAGATTTAAAATCCTATAAATACAAATAACAATTAAAATGAGTTTTAAATAAAAAGGTCTTAGCCTGGCGCCAAACAACAAAGAATGACGGCGCCAGGCGGACCTCTCTGGGGAGCGCATTCCATAGATGGGGCGCCACTGCAGAGAAAGCCCTCCTCCGGGTACTCACCCTCCTAATATTCACGGAGGGCTCCCGAAGAAGGGCATCTGTTGCTGATCTCAAGAGGTGGGAGGGCATATATGTTTAAGATGGTCCTTAAAGCAAACCACATCTTCACAGCTGTTCGTATATCCAAAAGTCTCGACTCCCCACCTCAAGTCTCTCTAGTCAGGGAATAAACCCTCAATAATCCTTTCATGGGCTATTTGTCCACTTTTTAGCAAGTTTCAGGGGGCTTGCTATTGTTTCAATAAGCCGTTAAACAGAACAGGAGGAAAATAAACCCACCAATAGGATAAAATTGCAGTAGGGCCAGAGGAAAAGCCTCTGCACTATTAATAACCTCACTGACTCTGTTCTGACGTCACACTAAGCCGGAATTCTAATGGATGCTTGTGCACCTCGTCTGAGTGCCCAGCTGCTTGTTGCTTCTGTCCGCTGGATTTGTTGGCTAAGGAATGCTCCATCTGTGCTTTTTTCAGCCTGATACAGGCTCTACCTTGCTGCTTTGCCATCAAACCAAAGACCAGGCATGGGCTGGGAACAAGCCCTAGCACAGATCTCTGCCTTATTTATTGCTAACAATTAGGTAGGCCGTCTTACTTGCTAAAAGGCCATCCAGGTGATAAGCAACAGTTTAAAACAATAAAGCCTCAACATAACAAAAATCAAAGCCAAAACGTTAAAACATAACTTGGATGGTTAAAATAAAAAGGTGAGTCTTCCTGTGCCTCCAAAATGTCCAGCGCAAAAGGACCAACCATAGTTGCCGGAGAAGCCCAATCCATGGTTTGGGAGCGAAGCTGGGGAAAACCCTTCCATGCGGCCCTCCTGGAGATCTTAATGGGGCATGCTCAGAATTAGAAAAGTGTTCCATAGGTAGCCAGGTGCTAAGCTGCTTAGGGTTTCAAACGTTAAAGCCAACACCCGGCACTCAGCCTAGACTAGAACTGGCAACCAGTGTGAGCCTTGAAAAGCAGGCGTCACAAGGGCGTGATACAGTGCGATGGCTGTTGGGCGAGCAGGCCAGAAATCCTAGTTCTGGTGTCACGCCAAACATTTTCGGGGCACAGGCATTCTGGCCATTTTGCCGCCCGCTCGCTCGCTCTCGGGCAGAGGGGGTGAAGGGAGTGATCACTGGCAGATTCTGGGGAAAATTCTGACTTGCCAGGAGGGCCAAATGTAGCCATTCCCCATGTGAGGGTCCTCATGTTTATTTTATTTATTTATTTATTTATTTATTAAAACATTTCTATGCCGCCCCTTGCCGAGAGGGAGATACGGGGGGGCCTCCATGCTCTGTAGATGGGGAAAACAATATTTAGGGGGGAAACTGGTGGGAGGAACAATTCCCAGAACTCAATGAGACTGAGCCTGCGCAGTGACTACAGATTATTGAGGTTCATGGAAACTACCAATAGTCACTTGGCTAGTGAGCTGATCCCAAATTTGTGGGGCCCTGAAAATCCATTTAAAATAAAAAGGGGTCAGTCTGTGCTTACTTGCAAAATGTTAATCTTAGAAGTCCCACGTCAACATTTAAAGACCTTACGCTTTAAAAATGAGCAGGAAAGCATTTTTAAAAATTCTATGCCATGTCTTCTAGTATAACAAAAAGTAACTGCAGTGCTTCGTCAAGAACATATTGATCTCCTGGGTGAAATTAAGCTTTAAAAATACTTACAACCTCGCTGGAGAGGTCAATACTTACTCTTAGGAAAACCTGATTTACAATGCTTTTGTTTGCATACATAAAAGTTGTTAGCAGCCCAATTCCCAGAGAAATGCCTATTAGGAAAAAAGGGTCAATTATAAAAGCAAAAAAGAAAAAAGAACAAAAATGCATTGAACTAAAGTTTTTAAAGAGTGGCAAAATCAAAAGGGGATTACATGCAATAATACCAACAATGTGTCTTAGAACTGTTTAGACAATGGAACAAAAGTAACCAGCCGCTACATACTCAGGGGCTCCATTATACTGCATAACCATAAAAATATCCTATACAAGTAATTAAATTAGTGAGTCCTAATTAATATTTGCATAATAAAGAGCACATTTCTAGATCTCACTGGTGAAAGAGACATTTCAATATTACAAGGTAAGCTGAGATCTGAGGGTTACGGAGAGTTACCTGCAGTCCTAATATCTCCCCAGTCTTTATTTCTACAAATAGTCCAGCTTATCCACCTGCTCATTTACTACGAAGCAATTAGGGCCAAGTGGCAAAAAGGCAGACGAACCAGTTACTATCTTGGGGAGAGTCTGCATCTAAAATAAATCACCGAGATGTTTATATCAAACAGCACTTTTATCATGGTTTAAAATTTTGTATTGGGGCAGGATTTTCCTGTGAACATATAGTTTGTAGCACAGATTCCAGGCAGGACCAGCCTTATAAGCAATCACTCCTCCAGCAGGTTGCAGAGAGTGAAAATCAGCAGGTGAAAGGCAGGCACAATTCAAGGGAGTCTGTCTAATGTGTGTCTTACGTGGTCCAAAGGTACACAACTGGAAAAGGAGTCTGACTCTATTCAGTGGGGTTTGGTGTAGGTACAGGATGGCGTCTCATTCCACGAATACCTAAGGAACGATTAGCAACTGCTATGCTGCTGCATTTTTTCTAGCCTTGAATTGTGTGGGATCAGTCCTGGAGGAGGAAGGGGTGAACTGAGTTTATATAGATATATATTCACCTTGGAGAGAATGTAAACCCAGGTTTACAACAAAGTTGGTTTTGCAGTAAGCTAAGGGTCCCTGTGTATATGATAACAACAGAACAAATGGAAAAAGCTAAGGTGTATGTTAGCATTTTCTCAATAGAGGAATTTAAGCAGAACACAAGAGAGAAGGGAACTGGAAACCGCAAAAAAAAGGGGATGAAGGCAAAGCTTCAAGGTGATGCTGGGGACAGAAAAACAAACCGCACAAAGATACCTGTAAATATGAGCCACACATATGAAGAGCCAGTGTGGCCTAGTGGTTAGCGAGCTGGACTAGGGGACTGGGAGAACCTGGGTTCAGGTCCCCACTTGGCCATGAAACTCATTGGGTGACTCTGAGCTAGTCACTGACTCTCAGCCTAGCCTACCTCACAGGGTTATTGTGAAGATAAAAATGAAGACGACAACAATCAGTACACCACCTTGGGTTCCTTGGAGAAAAGCAGGGACATAAATACAGCAATTCAATACAAATAAATACATGTAATAAGGGGCTCACAATCTCTGGCTGTCCTTTACAGCCAAGCCAAAATTGTACTTGGTGAGCCCCTCCCCTTGCTTAACATATGGAAGTTTGCTTATGATAATTAAAGCCCATTACACTGGCAAATATATCCGTTGTTAAGACCAAACAGTGGTGTCTTCACTGAGATCTAGCAGTCTTTGCTGTAGCACAAGGTCACCCCAAAAAGCAGTCTATCAGTAGGCCTCTTCGTACGTTTTATCTACTGAATAAGTATTTGGCAATATATATTTTAGGCTTCATATCTGAGATTTATTCTGTATCCTAAGTTCACTTATGTGTGGTGACTGGCCTAATTAATACTTTTGATATGCCATCCACAAATTGATATCTAGATATTTCTTTTAGTATTCAGTATCCCTAAATATAGTCGCCGCCCTCCTCCTCCTCCTCCTCCTCTTTCATCTCCCCTAAAGGCACAATGAAACCTGCTTGGCAACTGTAATTTTCAATTTTTTTTTTCAGTTTCCAGCACCAGCTTGAGGTTCTGCCTCCTTGTCATTTTTTTGGGTTTGGGATTTTCACACACAGAGCGAGAAGGAAATGGAATCTGACATTCTTAAGTGAAGGTTAATGGGACTCAATGGTGGGATGCTTTGGCAGAGAAGGGCAGTTTCATTTCGGGCTGTACTAACCATTTCCGAGATAGAGAAGCAACAGTTTTGATCTGTGCTCAAGTCTGGGTACCACAGTTCAAGAAAGATGTCAGAAGTAGCTGGAAATTATTCAGAGGAGAATGATGAGGACAGGGGGTCTATCAGGGAAAATCTTATGAGGACAAGCTAAAGGAATGTTTTTGTTCACCCAGTAAGAACGATGAGGGATCAACTGCCAATTTTCAATTAAAAACCCATTTCGAAGGAGATGGGAAAGTAATTGGTCATCTGACCGATTGTGGATAGTACAAGAAGCAACAGGTTTACATCAGACCTTTGTTCTCTGAAGGACAGCAACGTACTGCTGAAGTCAACAATCAGCTACATGAATATTTAACTTTTTAGGATAGGTTTTTAGTTCTTACAATTGTAGAAATGTGATGGGAAGCACATGCGGATCGACTGGTGAAATGTCCGAGCCAGAAAAATGGCTCAGTATTTCAAGCAACTGAGGGGGAAGCCTGTACAACCTCGTGGCCCCAGGGAAACCAGAATTCTGTCACCCAAAACACACAATGCAAATCCATTGCACTGTTAAATTTATGCAGGCTATTTACATTAGCTTAGGGATGGCGATTTTTTGGTTCAATATTTTTCAGAGTTCACACCAGTCATGAGGTATGAAGTCGAAACAGATCTGACCTGTTGCTTCTCTTTAATCATAATAAATGCAGTTCTTTTCACCAGGTCTTGTACTCTACCAGTTATATGCTGCATGAGCAGTTTGACGGATAGGATCAAGATGTACGGGAGACTCTTGTGTAGCCACTGGAGGAAGTATCTGAACTCGGAGAGTGAGCTGGTGCTTTGGTCCTCCAAGGCTGCGCCACTGTCCTGGGGCCGCCTCGTGTCGCTGTGGGAGTGGGCATGCGAGCAACTCGCGGACCCTGGCTGGGACAGCTGGTGGTGGTGGTGGTGCTTGGCGCCAGGGCTCTCCTCCGAATCTCCGGGAGCACAGCTCAGCTGGATGCGAACATCCCCTCCGCGCTGGCAAGACCCTTCCCCTGACAGCCGTGCTGCGTAAGCACCCTGAGCGGAGCTGGCACCGTTGCCGCTCCCTGTGGCGCAGTGGCGACCGTTAGCGTTAGACTGCATGGCTTCCGTCTGGAGGCGGCTTGCGCCGAATTCCTGGGCTCTGCTGTGATGATCCCTAAAAAGAAGCAAAGTTTACAACAGCACTCGTTAGCTGAGGAGAAAAAGGTGAGTAAGGGGAGGCATGCTAGAGGTGTACAGATAAGGAGGCATTTTTTCTCAGAATATTAGAACCCAGTGTGGTCCCATCCCTGAAGCTTTGTGGAATTTGGGTCAGATAAAAGGAAGGACTGCCTCGCAAAACACAGCGTTAAATTATAGCATTCCTGTCCACATGATGTATTGTGGACTTTAAAAGGAGAATTAATGTTTAGGTATAAAAGGCAGATGAGAACATGTGAGCCTCCAGGGTTGTTGTTAAAGCCAGCAGATGAGGCTGTATCTTGGGAGGAAGTTCCAAAGGTATGGGGCCATCCCTGAGAAAGTCCTATGCTTAGAACCTGCCTGCCTAACGAGCCAGGCACGAGGGCCTCCAGTGCTAATGTTTGGATATGTACAGGGCAGCCCTTCAGATACCGTGGTCCCAAACTGTTTAACTGGTAGGCATGTCATAAGTGGAGCTGGCTGGAGCTGGGGGTCAGACTAGATGGCCCAGGAGGCCCCTTCTGGCTCGCCCTGTTTCTAATTGCCAGAGCCAATTGCCACAGTAAGAGAAGGGACCCCCACTAAAGCACTTGGGCAAGGGAGAGTCCAGGTCTCATTTGAGACCCCACACAGCCAAAGACTGGCCTGTATATACTCCACCGTGGTTCCTGAACGCAGATGTAGTCACTGAACTCCCATCATGAGAAGTTCAGTCTTCAGTTGTTTAGGAAACAGATGGCGGTTTTGCAAACAGAAGTGGTTAATATACAGCACTTATTTATGTATGGTTGTACAGAGCACCACTGATTAATATTAAAGTTCCCTTGCAAGAGCAGCAACTATGTATTATTAAAAATCACCCCACAACGCCAAAAGGAAGTGGCAGATGGCAAGTCAGTTATCAAGAGAATTTTAGTAATTCTCTCATTCAGGTTCTCTTAAGGGACCAGCCTTTTGCAGTCTCTGAATCTTAACTATTAATTTGTCGGCAAAATTGTGGATACTGGCCCAAGTCTGAAAATCCCAATTAAACCATACTTACTTTCCACCAACTTACCCCAGATTTGACGGGGACCTTCAGTTTTATATAGAAGAGGTTCTGCACTAGCAGAGTGGGTGGAGAGCGGTCAAATTTAGGGCTGCGGTCAAGTTTAGGGCTTACGCCACACTGTGGCTTAAGGCTTGGAGCGCCACATTGCGTACTGGACAGTACTGGCAGGGCCAAATGCCTGCACAGATCGATTGCTTAAGCCCTGCAGGACACACAGGACAAGCTGCTGAATATTCAGAATGGCCATAAACATGCTCCGCACCTTGCCAGTGGGCTGTTTGACTGTGTGAACAAGTCCGCTGGGTTAAATAGCAACAGAGGTCAAGGGGGGGGGGGGGGGGATGACTGCAACTTTCAGCCTCCCAAGCCAAGCCAGCACAGCCAGTGGTCAGTGTGCTAACCATTTCTGTTCCCCATGCCTGTTGTATTTATTATATTTATCTTCACATTTTTTCCTGCAAGAAAGCCGGAGTGGCTTACAGAATCAGCCTGCGCTCCGTTTTATCCTCGCAACAACCCTGTGAGGTTGGCTAGGCTGAGATTCAGCGACGGGCCCAACGTCAGCCCAGTCCCCTGCATGGCCATCCAACACTCTCATGGCTACGCAGCACTGGCTTTCCCATATGCGCCTATCTATGCACACTTCATGGAACTCAACTGTCTTTTTTCTTGTCAATTTCACAAATAGGATCCTAAGGAGCGCTTCTGGAGGGCTCCAGAACTACTTCTTTGACAAGGGAAGTGAAACAAAGAATTGTAACCACAGGCCTCACCACTAGAACACAAATGATCTTGAAAGGGTAGGATCTGCTGTGAATGCAAGCACCTAACTCCCAGGATCTGAGACAAACTCTGAGCACGTACAGAGAGCACAGGGCAAGCAACGGCTGCGACCAGTCTCCCTTCTGCAATATCGGTGAAGAGGCACCTCTTCTTGCAACATTCGGGCTGCAGTCTGATGCCCTCTGACATGGGGTGAAACTGTAGGGGCTGCGTCTGAGGATTTACTACTGCTGTAAGAGGAGTAAACTGCACTGCCTCTCTTTCCATAAAATTCCTGTGAGCAGCCTTAAGTTCCATGGAAGAAGAAAGGGGGGATAGAAAAGGGGGGAAATACAGCAGGCAAAGCAAACAATGCTAGACTCGCCCTCAGGACACAAGCCATGACCAGAGTTCCTCTCTTCTGAATGCCAGGATCTGTGCATGGAGAAGGAGCCCTGCTGGATCGGGCCCAGGCACCCGCGCCGGCTGATCAGCGCCCCATCAGGACAGGCCCATGACAGCGCCCTCCTGCCCATGCTCCGCAGGAGCTGGGGCACATGGACATAGTGTGGCTGGCCCTGGAGGCAGCACGGAGCTACTGTGAAGCGATCATCAGGCCGGCGGTGCCTCTGAGCAGGTGCAGAGTGCTTTTGGACAGGACGGCCACACCGGAACCCGCTCCATCTCGTGGCGCGGCTCCAGCCGCCGGGATCTTTGACCGAGGAGCAGCGCCAGCTCCCCGCCGAGGAAGACAACTTCCCGTAAGTTACGGGCATGGATGCAGGCGAAGGGGCTCGCTCCCGTCCTCCCCCGATCGCCCCCCCCCCCACCCCACCTGGCCGCCAGGGCCGGTGCCTCTGAGCGCGTCCAGAGCGCCGCCGGGAACAGACACGGGGGCCTGCAAGGGCGCCCGAGCCGCTCGGGCGTGTTCCTGCTAGGCCAGAGCGGGGAGAGGCCGACCCAGCGCCCGCCGCCCGCCCCGCTCAGCTCAGCTCAGCTCAGCTCACCTCTCCCGGCGCGGCCGCAGCTTCATGGCCGGCGCCGCGACCTCCGCGCCGGCTCCATCCCCGCCGCCGGGGCCGCGCGCAGGCTGGAGGCGAGCGAGGAGGCGAGCGGCCGGCCTGCTTCCCTGCCTGCCTGCCTGCCTGCCTGCCGGGCGGCCTCCCACTACCGGCCGCGGGAGGAAGAGGAGTGGCGGCCGGGGGCGGCTGCCAGGCCGCGGGTGTCTCGTCGCTATGGCGACGCGCCGGGCCGCGTCCTCCGGAGGCCTGTGAGGAGGAGGAGGAGGAGGAGGGTGAGGAAGCACGGCGGGGGGCTCCAGGCCCAGTGGCGTGAAGCGCTCGGCTCATTCTCGTTCCCGTTCCCACGTTGCGATGCCGCGGCCGGCCTCGAGGGGGAATAACGCCTGCGGCCGAAAGGAGCCGCGCAAATGCGGGCGTTCACTGCCTCGGGCTGGTCCTCCCGTCCCCTTCTCCTCTCCGGCGGGGCTTGCAGGGCGGCTTATCGCAACCCCCGCGCCATTTTTTTCTCTGACAACAGCCCTGCGAAGTAGAGCAGGCCGAGAGTCCGGCACAGGCCCCAAGTTATTGAGAGCCGGTGGGGTGAGGGGGCTGGAGCTGGGCTGGGTCTCGGGCGAGCTGGGCCCGAATCCCTGCTCGGCCACCGAGCAAGCTGGCTGGCTTTGGGCCAGGCCCAGCCTACCTCACAGGGTTGTTGTTGTGGGGATAAGGTGAAGGAGAATGGTGCAAGTCAGCTTGAGTGCTTTAACAGGAAAAGGGATAGAAATCTAATAAATGCCCCAATGAATGTCATGAATGAGCAGGGACTCAGATTTGCATCTTTTCAGTGCTGCTCAGTATCCCAGACTGGCCCTTATTTGGACTAAAAACAGCAGCACAATTCTATATGCATTCATGTATGTATTTATTTCATTTCTATACCACCAGTTTACAGCAATACTTACTGATATATGCTGGTGACTCTTGGTCTAGCTCATGATACACATGAGTTTCCTTATGCTCACAGATCTCCTCGGTTGGATTGGTGCCTCTCTTTTCCACTCATCTTTTAATACCTTTATGAGGCCAACTCAGTTGTTAAAAAGAAGTGAAAGCAGGCTGGTGGTAAAACTTGATGCTCTTTTTAGCACGTGCAAACCATCTCCATCTCGGTATATAATGGCCAACTTGCTGGTAGTCATAGATCTGATCTGGCTCCCCACCAGTCTGCTTGGTAAAAGGCATTAAAAAAGAAAAGCTAACTTGCTTAAGAAGCTTGTATTCTATGTTTACATGCTGGCTGTGGAGCATGGAATAGCACAGCAGCATTAACAACATTTTAGGACTTAAATATAAGGCTGTAATAATTGCAGTCTAAAACTTGCTTTGCAGAGAGTAAAGATGATAATAATAGCCCTAATCCAGCACTTGGGGTTGTGTTTGCAGTAATCTGATTCTCAGTCGTTTCATCTGTGTCACAGTTTAACCGCAATATCGTGCGTTGAAGGCATTCTGACAAGAAACTTAGAAGGGATCCTTTACGTTTTTGGAAAATGCTGCATCAAAAGGAGAAAGAAGCTGAAGAAACGCCCGGAGGAAGATGGTGTAACAATGACCGAGGTTTCAGGGACTCTTGGTTCACTGCCTGTCTACAGGAGACATTATTACCTGGAAAACCATGGCATAAGGTACAGGGCATGGGCGTTAAGTCCTTATCCCAGGGGTAGGCAATGTGGTACCCACAGCTGGAACTGCCTCAGAGCACAGTGAGGGCCTCTAGCCCTCTTTCCTCATGGGTGCCTTTTGTTCAGAAGTTCCCATGAAATGAAGCTGCTACTTTCATCAGTACTTGGTGGTGCCCAGAACAGCTTATCAAACTGCCAGATGTGCCCTGGAGGCTAAAAAGGTTGCCCACCCCATGTTGTTTTCTTGGCTTACTCCCCTTCCTTAACCCACTGTCCCCCTATCCTAATAACAATGCCATTTAGCATTAATATGTTGCTTAGGAGATTCAAAAGGTGTTGCACATTTTCTCAGTTCTTCCCCTAAGAGTGGGACATCCCTTCAACTCCCCAGCCAGCCAGCCAAGCTCACTGACTGATCTTCTGCCCACCACCATCTTGCAGTGCCGGTGGGACCTGAACGCCCCCCCCCCCCAGAGAGGTGGCTGTAGCTGCTTGCCATCTTGGTCTACCAGGCTGACGAAAGAGCTGTGACAGCTGTCAGGCAAGGGTTGAAGCATTGTCACACACTGTTACAAGGTCACACTCTTCCCCCTTTCTGAGTAGAGGCGAGATAAACCAGTCAGAGACTTCCAGCCAGCAGGGGCTGGACAGCAAAGGTAAAGGGTTCCCCTTCTTTGCTGCTTTGCTCTCACTGGCTGCTAGGCAAGATCAGTCTCTGTGGTCTGCAGGACACAGAGCTGGTGTGAAGGCTAGGTTGTTTGGGTACCTGCTGAAAAGACCCACATTGCAGCAGGAGCTGACTGAGAAGAACCCCCAGGAGCACCTCCACCCCTTCGCCGCTGCATCCTGTTTGTTCTGCTGTCCCTTGGGTGGCAAGGCAGAGGAGCAGGAGATGCCACATCCGGCGTGCTTACTGGCTCTCTGCCTGTCAAGCAAGCAGGCGTAGCAACAATGAACAAGAGGACCAGGAGCAGCTAGTGACAGTGGTGATGACGGACGGGACACACTGAGGGATGGAGTTCCTGGCGGTCTCTTGCTCAAGGCTCCTGAGAAATCTGGAGCTGGCACTTAGGCCGCTCCATCCATTGCCGAGGTTGCGAGTGGGAGGGTGGTCCTGCCTCCATGTCACGGGCATCCAGTGACATCCAATGATGCTGGGTGGCGTAGACATGCGATTGTATCACAGCTGATGACTCCTCTAGGTTTTAGAGAGACTGGAAGCTGCTCTTGCTGAAGAAGTAAAGCACCAGATAAGTGACTTGAAAGAAAGAGAAATGGTTTTCCATCTCCTCGGACAGAGCTTTGTGGAACGACATTTGAATGATTGTCCTATTCGGCCAACTTCACTAGTAAGCGTGTTCTAGGAATTCACTTATCTTTGATCTAGAAGGAAAGGTGGTTTTATTGTTTGTTTAAAGCTTTTGCATCCTGCCCTTCACAGTGTCTCAGGGTGGCAATAAAATAAATAAGATACAGCATTAAGAATAATATATAAAATCAATCTTAAAAACAGTACTAGCATTTAAAATAATGGGAAAATAAACAGGTTGTGGCTTGGTGCCAAAATGAAAACAGCATCAGTGCCAGGAAAACCTCTCTGGGGAGCCCGTTCCATGGCTGGGGTGCCGTCACAGAGAAGGCCCTTCCCCAGGTAGCTACTCTCCTGATCTCCTTCAAAGAGGGCTCTTGAAGAAGGACCACTCCAGAGCTTAGAGTCCGGGCAGGTATATATGGAAGGAGGCGGTCCTTCAAATTTCCAGGTCTTAAGCCATTTTCTTACCAAGAATACTCAAACCTTTACTACACCTGTGTGGGCAAATTTCCATTTTGGATTTTTTTTTTCTGGGAAGTAACTTTGAGTAGTTAACAGTTGCTAATACCTTGGGTCTATTCCCTCACCCCTACACTACTGCTTATATATATATCAATCACACACACCCCAGAAATAGAATGATTCCAAAAAATGTGTTCTTCTCATAGTTCCCTGACTTGAACACGTTCCGCAGCATTGGTCTGGAAGACAATGCGCGAGCCTGGCTACGGAATCGGTGCTTCAAAGCAGCAGAGCGCATGAACTGTCAGTTCCATTTTGGTGAGTCCTGCTTGGGGCCGCATGTGAGCAGGGCCGGAGCCGAGGGCAGACATGGCTGGGTGCCGGCCGAGCACCTGCAGCACCGCAAGCCCCCACAGACCGCGCCCCGTGGAGCAGTTCTGCTTCACGGACTCTGTGCATCGCACAGACGGGCTCTGCACTTGCCGGGAAGGTTCAGGAGCTGAGGGCGTTTTGGTGGGAATCTTTCCCCCACCCCAGTGTCCGTATAAAAGGGGGCAGCTCCTGCTGTCTCCCTCAGTTCTCCTTTCCCACTTGGCCATGGAGCCAGTGGGGTGACTCTGGACCAGTCCCACACGCTCAGCCAAGCCGGCCTCACAGGGTTGTTGTGGGCATCAGAGTGAAAGCAGGCGGAAGAGAGTGCTGCGTTCGTAGACAAAAGGGGGATGGATATTGAAGGTCGCTAAAATGCTCCTAGCCAGTGAATCTTCCCAGCCAAGGGCTCCATGCAGGCTCCGAGCGCTGATAAGCTATCGGAGAACAACAGCTACAGGTAAGCAACCTGCCTTTCTTCATTGTTGCTACCTTCTAGCTCACCTGCTGCTTACTCTGGCGCACACGGCGGTGGTGGTGGTGCTAAGATGGAGGAGGAGATGCTGCAGCTTGCTTGCTTCCTGCTTGGCAAACAGTAGCAATGATAAGAGCAGTGGGGAGAATGATAAGGGCCGGGGGGGGGGGGCATTGAGCGTGCTTTGCTGAAGGGCCCCCCACAAAAACCAGTTGCCCGTACTGCACATGAGCACGAATGCAAACTTAGCGGGTGGAGGGGATCCCCAGTAAAGCTCATCCTTTGGAGCATCATCATCTTTACTCCATTGGACTTAGATCCCACCTTCTTTCCTCTAGTGAGGGATCCGAGTCAGCTTCCACAACTCCATGTTTATCCTCGCAGCAACCCTCCTCCTCTAGGGCTCAGATTCCATTATAAATGTGCGGTTTTTTTTTTATGGCTGCGTCTTGCTCAAGACCGTCAAATGAATATCTTCACTGAGCAGGGATTTTGTTTTGTAAGCATTGCTTTTTATCACGTATTTTTTTTTAATAAATGGACAAATGATTTAAAAAAAGAAATGGGTGCAGAGAAATCTATTTGACTAGTAATATTCTTGCTGTGTGAGCTTTGAGGTAATTAAAGTTTGTATCAGGGAAGGTCATGCTGTTTCCAAATTGACTCCGCATTGTGGGAAACCTGAAAAATAGTGTTTCACATCGCTCTCTGCCAGAGAGCAAAAAAATTAGATGATTGCAGCCTGTCGTCTTTTTTTTTTTTTAATTCCCCACCCCACCCCACCCCACCCCAGCAGAATAGTTTGCATGTGAAAAAGACATCTGTTTTCTTTCATGTTAATAATATCACTGTTTCAAAGGAGGTTGGTGAAAAACAGTTTAACAGCAACAACAAAAAGTTAAAAGAGGATCCGTTCTGTATTCCTGCCATGCCAAAAGCTTCCCATTTTCCTTGCTTAGAGTTTGAAGAGGAGTCTTGTAGAGGTGGGGGACTTTGACAAGGCATGGGCACCATTACCAATGTGGTATGTTTGTTCTTGCTGTATTTCTTAGCTTGCTGTGTTGTAGGAAGCTTTAAAGGTCAGCTTCACTGGAAGAAAACCATACCGGAGACTTCTTTGTGGTGTTTCCGTTTTGTCATACATGTTTATTTACAAACTTGTGCATGGACCTGGCTTAACACAGGTGGGCATGGCATTTTGTTTGGCACAGCAAAGACGCCCAGCAAAGTAATGGAGCTGTCGGAGCTGAACGCCTTGTGCCCGCTCCATATGAATTAAGCCGTGCCTTTCAGCCTAATAGTTCCCCCAGCTTCATCGTGTTTTTATTGGAAAGCTGTATGCTGGATCAGTTTGTCTGTCCGTGGTGGCTTAAAGACATGACTGCAGGCGTCAGCTGCAGGGACATATTGAAATTAATGTGTTTAAAACAGAAAAAAGCTGAGGTACATACCTTTAGGGTCCCCTTGGTATGCATGCCAGGTTGCCTTTGTCCAGGTTTCACATGCTATGATGCAAACAGAGGAACAGACAGACAAACACCTATCTATTAGCGGAATGGGGAAAGCTGGCGAATGTCTGGTTGGCTGAAAATGGCAACACGCCAGTACGGAGTTTGTTTCCCTCCTTTATGGAAACATAAAGGTTCGGCGCCAGGCCAAGACCTTTTTATTTAAACAATATTTTAATAATCATTGATTTTATTTATTGGTTTTATGATTTTGAGCCAGGATGTTTCCGGATTTTATATATGTATGTATTTATAAAGTTGGAAGCCGTCCTGAGGCTTATGCGAATGGGAAGGCATACAAAAATTCCAAATTAATAATAATAATAAATAAACACATGATTTACAAGCAAGCAGTTTGCTCTTGGAGCACCCCTCCACCGGCTGCTCATTCTCAACTGCCGGCAAAGCTCAGATATTTGCCCTCATCGCCCGCTGCACACAGAACTGTCCAAACAGTTTCTTTCAGCCAAGCCTTACCCAAACAGACAGAGTGTGTCCCTGCTAGAAATCTCTACAGCTAGTGGCGATGTGGTTTGAATGCTGGACGGGGACTCAGGATATCCAGGTTCCAGTCCTTACTCAGCCATGGAAGCCCACTGGGGTGAGTTTGGGCCAGTCACGGGCTCTCAGCTTCCCCTACCCCACAGGGGTGTTGTAGGGATAAAATAGGGAGGACGAGAACCTCGTGAGTTGTCTTGGGTGCCCTGCAAGTGGAAGAGAGACGGGGTATAAATGGAAAATAGTGGTAGCGGTCATAATGGTTGCCAGAAGCGATTGCAGGTAGTTAGGCAGGTATCTTCTGAGCAAGCGATCAAGCGATGGAGAAGGTGATCGATGCAGTAGGACCCTGTTCCTGACCAATGTACAGGCATGTTCCTTTCTTTGAAGCAGAGGGGGACGCAGCTGAACTGACGCCGGAAATGGCCCGTTTCCTTGACGATGCCTATAACGTCGTGGCAGCAGAGATGGAGTTGCTGCTGGCCGGCAGTGCAGTCAGGCACAAGGTAACTGGCGCTCTCTTCTGTTCTGCTGACCACCTGGCAACGAACACGTGTTACTTACCGCCAGGATCCCGTTGTTGCGACAAGTGGGAAGTGTGTGGAAGGGACGGGCTTTTATATCACGAGAAAAGTAGCAAGTCTCTTGTTCCCTTCGCAGGTGTGCTCTACTTATTTCTTGTATTTAGTCTCATTTTCCAGACAATTCTTGTCTCAAAAAGAAGCCTCTCGCATTACTCTGAAAGGAAGATAGTCTGTGTCATCCAAGGGTGTATTGTCTAGAGAGACCAGACACACACGGGGAGGGGAGCACAGGGAAAAGGAAGCATTGAGAGACCAGCTTTTAAGGCCAGAACACAGCATTTTTTTCAGCCCTGACTAAGACTTTTTAAAAGGATTTTTAAAGGGCAGTAGCGCTTCTGCTTGCCCTGTGGCGTTTGCAGGTTGTTTTGCATGATTTGGCATGATTTGCTATTAGAAACACGAATTTATAACAGCTTCTCTTTTGTAGGAAAGGAGCGTGCAGGAGAGCGAAACCTTCTGCAAAGTACCCCAACTGTCCCTATCAAGGGAGCCAACCCAAACTTCTGCTCTGGTGCAGCGGTCCCGATCCATTGCGAGTGAAGACATTAGCCTAGTCTTATCCCAAAGGCCAACTTCACAAATCGATGGGCGGGAAAAAGGTACTTTGGGATTCTGGCATTTCAGGCATAAACCTGTGAACAAGCTAGATGGGAGTGTATCTAAGGGCCCTGACTTGTAATATATTCATCCTGTTTTGTTTAAAAAGTTAGGAAAGTGCCTTATACAAATTCAGTCCATCTAGTTCAGTATTATCTACCTTAGTTATGTCCAAGTACTGGCAAGGAGCCTTCCTTCTCACCATAATTCTACGCACGTCTGTTCAGAAGTGTCCCACTGTATTCCTTGGACATACGATTGGAAAAGTGCATATCTCAGAGAAGGGCAGCATGTAAGCTTCCAGATGCTTTGGTTTACATCTCTGATCAAGCTTAGCATACCCAGAGATGAGGTCTGATGGGAATTGTAGGCCAAAACCTTTGTGGGGGGGGGCACAAGATATCCGCCCCAGTGCACGGGATAGAGAACTAAAGAATGCTGATTAACCAGCACTACAACTGACGTATTTCTTCGTTATGTTTGCGCATGTGTATGTGTGTTCTGCTTGCTTGGCTTCCTCTGCCAGCCACGAGTGCCAGGCCCTCTTTGAAGAGTTTGTTTCCCTCCTTTATGGAACATAAAAGGCCTCCACTTCAAAGTCATCCACAAGTGTTTGCTTTCCCAGTGCTAAGAGCTGATAGAAGTTGTTTTCCCCACCCTTGCTCCATCTGATGCAGAGTGCCTTCTGTTCAGGCGAAAAGCCGTTCAGCATACAAGACCAGTGAGGTAGCACACCCTCTCCAGTGTATTGTAAGCGAGGTTTAATTTACTGTGGCATATGCATCATTTTCCAGAATAATTCCACTCTGCCAGCTTCTTCTGAGCCTTCTTAGCTGTGTACCTCTAGGGTGTTTTAAACATTATGAATTAGAAACCAAAGACTTCAGTCCTGGAATAAACACCAATTGTGCAAAAGCTGGGGAAGGAGGGAAAGGGGGAAAAAGAGAAGAGGACAGGTAGCAAATAAGCTTTTTGCAAAAGGCAGAAGATGGGGAGAAGATACTCAGATGCTCTTGCATGGCAGCATCTCGATATCCCAGTGAAAGAACCATAAAGCTGCCTGGGGAAGATCTGCTAGATGGTCTCTGCCTAGTGACCCACAAGGCCGGCTGAGTTGCCTCCTTGTATATTTTCGTCTGTCTGTCTGTCTGTCTTCTCTATACTTATCCCTTTTCCCATAAGCGATCTTGACAGGCAGCAAGGACTTCACCCAGATAGAGACCCAGGAAGGTGTTCCCCAAGCTCTTATCTGTATCCCATGTGGCAAAGGACTACCACACCCAGCTCCTCTGCTCCAGACGTGGATGGGCAGCATCCATCACAAGTGGCAGACATGGCAGCCGGCTACGGGGCTCAGTCCTTTCTTCCCCGCCAGGCCTCTCCAAGGGATGCTCATATCCCCGACGGAGGGAAAATCTAATCTGCATCTCTCCACGCACTATCTAAGGAGCGGTGCGTTTGGAACATCTCGCTGGGGTGATAAAATCTCACAGTGCAGTGGCTGAGCTGCCAGGCACTCAGGGATCCCGAGAGGTCTTGAATCCACAGGTATTCCAGGAAGTGGTGCTCCATTTTGGTTGACTGAGGGCGGACCTCCTCTTTCTCCCCTCGCATATGCTCAGGTTTCCCAGTTCTTCGCAAGATTTGTATGCTTAGACCTTTAGCTTTCTTGTTGGGCTGTAGTTTCAGTTTTTGCAAGTTAACATGATAAGTATTTTTATATGTTTGCTTGTGAGTCACTGTTCAATTGTTCTTACCTCTTCCAGACTTCCAGTGGCATATCAGGCCTGAGCTACATCCCCCTGTCCTCAGCTGCCCGGAGAGCAACTTATTAGGGAATATGCTCTGCGATATAATCTCACAAGGTTCTGAGAATATGTCTATCGTGTGCGAAAGACTCAGTGGGAAATTACTGCCGTGGATGCTTCGGCAGTTCCTTTGGAACGATAAGCTCCTGAGGACAGGCTTTGAAAACCACACGACTCAAGGGCAAATGTAAGCCTCTGTGGTGGGGGGGACAAACCCACGGGGTGTGTGGGGGAGGTGGTCAAGGCAGCCTTCCTCCAGGTCCCAACCCGGCTTTCCGAGTCCCTCCAGAATGCCACCCCTCATGCCCCACCCTGTCACCCAAAACCCACAGCTGACTGCATATTTCCCCCCAGATCTGTTGCTGCGAGAGAAGCCAGGGAGAAATTTGAGCAAACTGTAGCGCAGAGGGTGGCTGAGCGGAAGCTTCGAAGTGCCGCTCGGTCACCGCTTTCAGGCCTGATTGAAAATGCGGTGGTGGAGGTAAGTCGAGGGGTCTGGCAGAAGTGGCCGGGGTGAAGGCATTTCTGAAAGGCTGGGGGGGGTGAGGAGTCGGGACCTGGGACCAGGCTGATGTATCGGCATCATGAAGGGCTGGGCGACACTTCCTGTCTGGGGGAGGGCCAGCAACCAGCGGGTGCTCGGGGGGCCAGCCCAGAGGCCTTCACTGGGTAGAAAGATGCTCAGAACAGCAGCTCTGCAAGCCCAGCACACAGGCCGGGCCTCCATCCACTGAGCTGAAGCTTCTGGCTCTGATGCCAACAGCCCCTGTAACGCCCAAATGTTGTTCCATGCCCTTGTCAGTTATGCCTGTATCCTGCCTTTCTGGCTCTTCCTCACACGGTCGTTTTCCTCTTCGCGTCAACTCCTTACCATGCTGCTCTTGTGGTCACATGCCCTTCTTCTCATTCATGTATTCCTTTTCCTTTTTTACATGTGTATCAAGGAACCCTGGGCAATTCACTCAGATCAAAACCCTACAAAGATGTTATCCCCATAACTTCTGCTCTCCTTCTGACAGACATACCGACGTGTTCCCTGCATGCGTCCTTTTGCTTCAAATGAGCAAATGGTTTTAGAGTCCTGCAAGAGCCTAAACATCCTTTACGTTTTCAATGGCGCATATGAACCCTACCTTATCTACTGGCTCTTTCCTCTGCAAGTAGCATTTAAGCCAATAGCACCAAGAGGTAAATAATTTACAGCTAAAAAAGACTCCAGGCTTTCCATTACCCCCTCCCCAAGATTCTGAAAATGCTGGTCTTGTATCTCCCCCCCCCCTGCCCCCGGCCGCCCCCTTTCCTCTGGCAATGGGAGAGATTGTCAGGGACATAACTTCTGAACTGCCGTAAACCACCGAGAGAGTTTCAGCTGCTGGGCAGTTTCGAAATGAAACAAACACATTGTCATCCGTTGTAGAAGCAGCTCTTTGTGTGCGTCATGAGCATGTAAATCAGAGAAGAGCAATTCCACACTTCCAACATTCCTCCTCTCTTGCCTTTGTGCATATTTTTATTTGTCATGCGTAAAGCCCAGCATTCCTCCAAGGAGACTCAGGAAACATGAACAGTCCCCTCCTGTAATGAGGTTTCCCGTGGCTGACATTTCTAGCCGGCATCGCGCTGGTCATAGTGGATGAAATGAGCAACAGGAAAATCCGCACTGTAGGGTTGCGTCAGACTGAGGGGGGATCGTCACTGAACTGTGGGTTGTTGAAACATGGTTTATTCTCTTGTCTGTGGTCAGCAACCAGAGTTCACCGTGAAATGACAAACCCCAAGTTCCCTTCATGGGTGGTTCATGGTCAGCGAGTCACAATCACACGTATGCCAGCAACTCCCCCAGGTCCAACAGTACCCAGACTCTGGATCCAGGACTCTGTGTTTGGACTGTTGAGGGATTAAATTAGATGATTTGAGATAATTTATTAGGTTCCACTCAACTTGGTGATGTAAAAAAAAATAAGTAAACATGCAGAGAAGGTAGCGCTTCCCAGAAATGTTAGCATGATGGTGTAATTTTAATTTTAGCAGAACAGCCGTATCTACTAGCCATGTACCTGCATGCTCTGCATGGGAAACTGTTTCCAACCGGGACAGAGATCTTTGCCATGGCCGAGTCAGTGATGAAGCTTCTGGAGAGAGAAGACCCAGAATTCTTTGCTCACCTTCAGCAGGCTTTCAAAACGAACATCACCATTGACCCTAAAGTACATTTCTGCCGTCTTTGGGGGATTTTTGTGGTGTGGGAGGTGCCCAGACTGATGGGGCCGCAAGGCTTCGGGTTTCGGTGCGCACCCTTAAAAGGTAGGGCAAGCAACCTAATAAATGCATCCATGAATGGATCTGCATGCATCCGTCCCCCACTCTCCTCTTGCTCTCAGACACCTGACTCGCCTGTTGGTCCATGAGCGATTCCACCCTCCGTCTGTACACTCGTGCCCACAGAATACAGGCGGCATGTACGCAACTCTCAGTTGGGCTGGGCCTTTGCACACATCCTGGTCCTCATTTTTCCTGACGCATATTTTTCTATGCATTATTGCTGAAATGCACATTTTTTTTCTTCAAGCGATTTCCACTCAACGCATTTTCTTGCCTACCTCTGTATAATATAAACGTCTTTCCATATAAATGTTCCCGATCCCTTGTTTTGTTTACGCACTTTTTAATGAAATGTGCAGACTGTACAACTTGGCTGCTTTATGGTTCATGGGCAGATTTGGGGAATAGGAATTTGCTAAGCTCGTATTAAGACACCCTCAAGTAATTTCTCGGTCACCCCAACTCTGCATTTGGTGGCTGCAGCCTTGAACTGACTGCTTCCAGGCCAAAAGCTCCTCCTGCTAACAAGTATAACGCATGTTGTAGTTATTCCATCTTTCCTAAGTTTTTTTTTCCTGGTAAGGAAAAAGATGGATGAAGGAGTGAGGGAAAAACAGGAGGGTTAAAACTGAATCTTGATAAAACGTCATTAATGGGGTAGCATGGTTGCACAGTAAAGCCCTCGTCTGGAAGCAGCATTCCCCTCCCTCCCTCCCTCCCTCTCTCTCTCTCTCTCTCTCTCTCTCTCTCAAATGTTCATGCATTCACACGTTCGTTCCACTTTTAACAAGTGTGCATCCTAAATTGTAGCCCAGAATCATCCATCCAATTGATGTGGAAGGTGTTCCATAACTGCATGAAATTTGGCGGGAGGTCAGATTTACCTCCTTCAGCCTGTATATTTCGCCTTAAATGCTGTCCTCCTTATTTACTTTAGGATTTCTTAGCGGAACTGATACTTCAGGAAAAAGGCAGCGCTCCAGGGATTGGTGCGTCCGAAAGCGAGCCTGATCTGAGCATCACACAGTTGCTGCTGACCAGCCCAGTCCTTTTTCTCAGGAAGTGGATGTGGGAGGTAAGCCGGTGAAGACACACACAAGTGTTATAATCTGCTCTGGTTTCAGTGGACACACCCCACACACAGCATGTTCTCAGGGGAGGCGAGTGACCCCCTGTGTCAGCGGGACTCCTCATCCCCAGCGGCTTTCCTTTTCAAGTTCATGGGAGCTGCCCATGTCTCCGTCTGCCATCCTGAAATTATTCTGGCTCCGTGGGCAGAGGAGCTGTTTGGGAAGGCGATTTATCAGCCTGCCATGGATTTGTCCGGGGAACATTGCCAGAATGGTCCCCATCAGTTTTGGAATCATGCTGAGGGCCGGGGAGGATGGAAACTGTTGTCCAACGCATCTGGGAGGTTCCGAAATTCCTCCCCACCTCCCTTACTTGCCCGGAGATGCTCCCCAATCTCTCAGAGTGCATCAGCTGCAGCAGCTTAGAACTACGCTCCCTCAAGCGCTTAGGGGGCACTCCCGCCAACCCACTGCAATATTAGAAGTGAGCTCTGGTTCTGCAACCCCCCCAACCCCCATCGCTCGCTCTCTGTTGACTAGCCTGTCGAGGAGCCCCAGGTTGTTGCAAAGGGTCAGGGACCCTGCTTGTAGGGCACCATCTTCCAAGGTGGGGTGAAAGAGGCTGAAAGAGTGCCTTCAAAAAACAGTCAAGCCTTTTCTCCAGGCATTGGAATCTCACCTGCCTCCGAGGTGCATGCGGACAGAAAGAGGTGCCTCCACCGCCCCCCGAGGCTGCGGAGCGCCCTCTCCCGCACAGGTCATCCCTGCCGTTTTGCACAGGGCTTCGTTGGTGTGTTGAACCTGCCGGCTGTGCTGTTCGTTTGGGATCAGTTATACCTGCGTGACTGGGACCCAGAGGTGATGCGGGATTTCTGCACCGCCATCCTCCTGCTGCTAAAGGGGCCATTCATGGCGGCTGGAGACTGTGGAGCAATTCAAGAGGTGTGTCCCTTGCTCATTATTATAAGTTGCATGAATTGCATCCCAGGGACCCTAGGATGATTTGGGTTCCCCCCTCCTCTCATGCTGCCGCCTTCCTCCTGGGAGGCCGTAAGACTCTCAGAGCATCCCAGGTCTGGAGGCTTCTGAGGTTGCAGCTGCCAGGCTTGCTCCCACAAACAGCTTTCCAAGTTACCTGCAGAGCAAACGCTGAAGTGTAAACCAACATTCGATTCAGCTGCCGTGGCAAAGTAGGTATGCAGTGACGGCCACGTCAGCGCACATTTTAGAGACCCGTTTTTCAAGAACAGAAGCTTTTGTTTCCATACACAATGCAGTTTTGGGGTCCATGAAATTTTACTATCGAATCTGTACCATGCGGAGTATTTCCGTCCTCCTTGCCTTTCTCTCTCCACCCTTCCTTTGCAGGTGTTCCTTTCATGTGCGTCTCATCTCCTCACTGCTGATATTCGGAGGGCCTGGGTCCACTTGCAGCAAGGGGGCTTGCCGGCTGACATTCCAGGGCTCAACAGGCTGAACCAGGGGTAGGGAGCGCTCTTGCTACAGGATGCATGCAAGGCCGGGCAGCCGGAGCTCATGCCAGCCCCTCCCCGAGGGCAGCTCCCACCCTTCGGAGCCAGTGTGGCCAGTGGGCCCTCTGGCCCTGGGGTGCTGGGAGCACCTTTGAAGGCGACGAGATGGGCCTGCCTCAGTCGGGATCCTCCATCATTCTTAGAACCTCGAGGGCATCACAGAAGCACTGTGGTGGATGCATCCATTCTGTCCGTGGTGGCTCATGGGATGCTGTCACAGGGTAACAGAGGCGACAGACGCGACTGGTGCTTCCTGGATTATAGGGCACTGGACATGGGCAACCATACGGTTCTTCCCGGATGCTTCTGAAGGGAGGTCCTCTTACCAGCCGCAGTAAAGCTGGCCCGCAGCGCCTCTTCGCCCACCAGATGGATTGGAGTCACTCTGACTCTCAGCCAAACGAGCAGGAAAACCCCCAAACACAGCTGGGCCGGCTGCGGCCAGTGTTCGAAGAAACAACAGAAGGGATCCTAGAAGAAGAAGGGGTCTCAGAGGTCATCTCTTCCATCCCCTGCCGGGGAAGGTAACTGACATTTCCTTCTGAAGAAATGTCTTTGCCTGTGAGGCTGTTCAGTCCAGAGTCTACCGTTCTGGCTGGAGTTGGTGGCAGGGAATCCGTTTCCGCTCAAGGGCAGCATTCAAGGGATAGGTGAGGATGAAGGCCAGAGGGGCTGATCTAAAAAATGCCAGCATATTGGAGGATAAAGTTGCTGCTGCTGGTGGTGTTTCCAGCTTCTAGAATGGGGAACAATGGGGTAACGCTCCCCAAAAGCTGAAAGCTGCCAAGCCATTGGTAGCTGAGTGAAAGGAGGTGGGACCAGAGGGAACAGGATTATGGCTGTCCGGGGACTGCAGGAGAGTCAATTCTGAGTTCAGGGCTGAGTTTCCCAGTACCTGGTTTAGACCATTGTAGCACGGTGAGAAAATGCCCTGCACAGCCATCTCTCCTTTAACTTATACATGATGGGGAGCAATGCTAAATCCTTCAGCTGTAATGAATATTTTATACTGAAAAATTATGCATGCCTTTTTGTGCTGAGTGCAGAAACAGTTCTGTGGTGTACGTTTATTTTTTATTTTAGTAGAAGTGCCTGACTGTGGTGTTTTGGCTTTTGTTTTTTGGGGTGGGTTTCCTCCCGCCCCCATCTCTTTGCCAGGCTGCAAGATAATTCTAATGAGCAAAAGTAATTAAAATGAGAATTTAGCTCTGATTGTTGCCTCTTGCCCCCTCCCTCCTTGCACTCAGAAAGGAGGAACTAAATTATGAAAACCCACTAATTAGTGCTATTTGCATGTGCAGGCCGCTTGTGGATCCTTCTCCACTGAGACATGGCTCAGCGGAAGGTACGTAACTTAATTTTTTTCTAGGTTGATGCTAATATTGAAAAGCATGAAGAAGAGAGTGTAGAAGGTTAAACATCCCCGAGGAACACAATAACCAGCGTATCTTATGAGAGCTTTCAAATACTATGAGAAGTACAGCTTTTTCTACTAGATCCTGAGGGGTTTTGTAGAAGCCCAAAGATGTATATTAGAAGGTTTCCCACTAATCAGAATTTTGGACTCATGATACGTGGTACCCTAGAAAGGCTTTAGAATGGTACCTTCCTCTTCTCGTCTTGGTATTCCAGAATTGTTGGACCAGACACTGAGAAATATGAAATTGCTTTTAATTAGGTTATTACTGATGGGACCTGTGACGAACTCTTCCCGATGGCTCTGCTCCTGTTTATGGTGCCAGCCAGCCATGCCCTGCTCCAGCAAACCATTCCATTTTCTCCTTGCTTTCGTTCTGCCGTATGCCTGTTCCGCCATATCCTTTCCCCGGATTTTCAGGTTTCAAGATGATGACGATGATAGATGATTGGCTCGCTTTGGCAACCTGGGGAAAGAGAAATCTAGCAGGCGGTGTTCTGTTCACTGGCTGGCAAAGTGAAGTGGCTCCCACCTTCCAGTTTTCAGCCCAAGGAGTGCAAAGGGGCTGGGTCAGCCGAGCCACACAAGGCCCTTCCTGTTCAAGGTGATGGCCAGTTTCTAAACTGTGTGTGGTTAATCCTTGACACAATAGGATTGCCAGAGTCGAAGCTGGAGCTTCACCTGCCTGTCCCCTCTCTGCATGGGTCACCCTTGCATTCCCCGTTTCCTGGTGTCTTACCTGACATGCTAATCTATTAGAGCAGGCCGAGGAATTTATTTATTTATTCTTTCAATTTATAGCCTGCCTTTTTCCTACAAAGGGCTCAAGGCAGCTTACATCATTTCTCCTCCTCCATCTTATCCTGGTGCGAGGAGAGTCAACAGGGCTGATTGTGGAGGGCTCAGGGACCCCGCAGCTGCCTTCCCCTTTTGCCACAAGGGGCGGTTTAGAGGCATTCGGACTGTCTCCGGCTTTGGACAGGACAGCTCTACTTAAATAGTCTCCACGCTAAAGGATAGGGTGGAACTATTGCTAGCCAGAAGTGTTAGTCTTTTCCCTCACAGCTTTCCATATCTTTTTCCTTTTTCTCTTTTCTTTTCTTCAATCTAGTTGCCAGAGGCGCATTATATTGGAGAACAGGTCTGGTAACAAAGCTTCCCGTACATGATGAAGTTCTGTGGCTGAGGCCCATATGGGAAAATGCGCTTTCTCAAATGCTGTGGTTTGCTCCTGCATCCCACTTGCCAAGGGAGGGCCCGAAGCAGACGTGATGTTATCCACAAATAACATTTTATTTAATTAGTTATTACATTTACACCCTGCTTTTGTGTGTGCGCGCGTGCGTGTGTCTTGCAACATCGCTTACATTCTTTTCCCTCGCTCCATTTTATCCTCACAACTACCCTGTGAAATAGGTTAGGCTGCATTCTTTCTTTTGGTATTTGATGAAACCTTCTGTGCAGCTCCCAAAATAATGGCAACAGCTCAGAGATGACAAAATACTGTGCAAGCTTTTGATCCTTTGTGGGGAAGCAAGGCTAAGACGCTCTGCGGTTAACGGGGCGTTTCCCCTCTCTGTCCCTCCTTCGTTTTTGCCTTGTTCACCATCTCGTCTGGCGAAGAGTTCCGGAGAACCCCAAAGCTTCCACAATATTTTGTGGTGGTTGAGTTGCCTTAACAAGCACGTTGTGTGAACGGATATGTTGTGGCTCTACCGCCACGCTCCCAGTTTCTCTTGGCTGCCCAGTCGCTGTCTCCAGGCCCGGGAAGAGGCCTAAGCCCTCCTGCACACAGAACTACTATTTCTATATCGCATGTGCATCTCACCTTTTCTCCTCTTGTGAGGAACTCAAGGCAGCTTGCATGGCTCCACTTTCTCCTCACAGCAACCACTCTGTGGAACAGGTGCAAGTTGCTCGGATCCGAGCCTGTTGGTTTTGCTTCAGAAGGTTTTGGAGGAAGGGTTGTTGCTAGTCACAAGTGACGTTGTCTGAAAGCCACACAGGTGCTGTCTCCGGGTTTCTGAGGGTCGTTGGGCATGACACCCTCATGGGCGCTCGCCCTCCG